GTAAAAATAAGATATAAAAGTTAAACAATCAATCATAAGTTGATGTTTTTGATTCTCATTTTTTATTTTAATTTTTAAAATTTCAAGATATTTGAAATTGGATCAGGAGGAGTAAAATCCAATAAAATCATTTAAATAATTCAAATCACAATTCTGACATATTGTACTTAGTATAATAATAAAAAATAGGAATCAATAGACAAAAAAATCAGAAATTCTAGAAAATTTCATTTAGGATAATAATTGTAATTGATGGAATTTTCCAAACAATTAAGAATCAAATAGTTAATTATTATTATAAAAAAAAACATATACCCTTTTTAAATAATAAGAATAATTTTATATGTGTTTTATTAATTATTAATATAATTGGTATTAAATATTAATGCAATCGAGTAAAACTTTTGAAGGACGAAATGCAATACGAACATATACAGGTAATAAAGTACTTAGGAAACTAAAAGAAAATCGAAATAATACAGCAAAATTTGTTATAAAAAGTTCTCCACCTAAGGATCTACTTTTTTTGTCCTAAAATAAATTTAGAGTTGGCCCACCTCCATAACCATTACGTAAGAACTTAAATATCTTAAGTTAGGGCATAATAGTTTTCTGCATTCGGACCAAGCAGATCAACTAAATCGATTTTAGCAAGGAATAATTTCCTAAATGGCTAACCATCAATCTCTAATGTCAAACCTTTTTTAGATTTTAATTAATTTATGAAAGGATTATCTTCTAATAATGTAAAAACTCGTTCACCTGAACCTTAAAAAGTTGTAATAAATAAATCAAAATTTTGCAGGTGTAAAGAAATTAAAGATATAATAAAGAAAGTAATTTATTTGTAATATTAAAGGATGAAAATGATAATATAAGCATTAATAATGATATGAGTCCAAAATAATATTTGCTATTTAATTCTTCTCTAAGCAAACCATCCTCTCCTACAATGAAAGTGTACTTAAATTCAAAAAAAGATGTTTATAAGCAATGTATTCCTTATATTTTATCTAGTAAAAAATGATATTGATGTTAAAAAGGAAATTTACTCCTAAGCACTATAAAAAATGTTAAAATAAGGAGATGAAGAAGAACTTATGGATTTTGATCATAGATATTTAAGAAGTGTTAGATAAAGGAAATTAAGAAATATTGTTTATTTTTTATTAGGAAGATCAAAAGAATAGTAAGTTTCACTACAAGATTTGATAGATAATAAAATGACTCAATATAAACCATTTTAATAATAGGGATCCTATTCATTTCTATATTATGTAAAGAAAGGCTTACTTGAAAAAGTTGAGGCTTTACTTTAATAAAATAACCTTTATGCATTTGATTTTGATGAAAAATAGATGACTGGTCTTCACATAGCTACTTAAAAAAATAATTTAGAGATGATTAAATTATTAATAACTTATAATTCAAATCCACTCTCAAAAGATTTATCAGGATTCACACCATTACATTATGCAATTAAACATCATAATATAGCAAGTATATAAGTATTTATTAATTATTTATAAATTAGCTTTTTTTATCCATGAAAGTTCCCACAGATGTTCAATATCCTGATTATTGCAAATTAACAGAAGACAGATAAATTTTAAAAATAATTCGCTAGGCTAAAATCAACGATCTCATCAAAAGAATATCGAAAAATAAATAATTATAAACATACCTTAAATAAATAATTTGATATTTTTAAAATTGTATTGAATTATTTAATAAATTTAATAAGAAATAGATTTTTTTTTTTAAGAGTTAATTATTATAGATGTCTCTACCAATTCAATCAGATAAATTAGATCAATTTTACTCATATTCTAGTTCAAATGTTAATTATGAAACATAAAAAAAGTATAGAATTATTTTCATTATTTTAGAAAATTCTCTTAGCTTGATTTTAAAAATCTACTAATCAAACTTTTAGGATAGGAAGAAGTTGAATAATTTAAATTAGAATAATAGTTAAGCTTGAATGATTAACATCATAATTAAGATTAATAAGTTGTATCTATACCTATTTATTTTCATCCGACCCTATATGGTATTTCAATTGATATTATTTACAAATAAAATTAAATATGCATTAAGAGCTACCTAACCAAAATGGATTTATCACCTTTATATGCTTCTGACAAAGTATTTTATTAAATTAATAGAATATAATCAATCTCATAAGTTTTTATGCTCTTAAATAGAATGATAAATTACACAACGGTTCTTTAAGTATTGACCCATTTACAGGATTATTCCAATTTAAAACATTAGTTAATATCTCATTCTATGAACAAATAAATTTTAGTGAAAACTTTTTAGAATGTTTAAGATTCAATATTTAAGAACATAAAGAAGTAATGAAAGATTAAATTCCTTATATACTTTATTAAATGAACAAAATAAAATTTAAATAATTTTGTAAATTTGTTAAACAAGATTAATTGTAAAATAAACAGAAGTAATTTGATTATTTAAAAGAAATTTTTTAAAAGTAATTTTAAATGTTAATTTAGGAAATTGTTTATTGAAATGAGTGATTAGGAGAAATTAGAATTCTTAGATCATCCTAAACCAAAAAGTTTACCATTACTTACAGAAATTTTAGTCTAATCAAATATAGAAGATCTGAAAACATAATTTAAAGAATAGCCCTTTATTAAATCTGGAGGTTATTCTGAGATTAGAAAAATTGAATTATGTAAACTTAAATTTTATATTAGCATATAATATAATTGACTATAAATAAACAATTTGTCGTTCTCTTGCAGTAAAAACAAATAAAATAGTCAATTATGAGAAAAATAATTAAAATAAAGTTAAAAAGGAACTTGAGATTCTAAAGCAATTGAGTAAAACAACCAAAAAAGCCACAGGGGAAGGAAATATAGTTACATGTTACTATGATTAAAAATTAGAAAATGATTGTTATTTCATGGAGTTTTACAATAATGGTTCATTGGAATAATATGCTAGTTCTAGGTCAATAGTTTTAAGTTTGAGAACAAAATTGTTTATTTTAGCTGGAATCATTAATGGAATAGATTTTCTTCATCTTAATGGAATAGCTCATTTGGATTTAAAATTGGGAAATATTTTAATTTAAAAATAATTGATTCCTAAAATATGTGATTTTGGAGAAGCTAAATCATTTGAAGAATTGAATCAAAATAAAATGAACTTTTCTCGTACTTTGCCTTATGCAGCTCCAGAATTATATAATGATTATAAGATATCTCCTGCTTTTGATATCTTTTCTTTTGGCATACTAATGTGTAATTTGATTTTTGAATAATAACCTTTTGTAATAATTAAATCTATGATAGAATTATAACCCTGACGATTTATCTAATCTAGAATAGAGATTCAAATCAAACACATACGCTATTAAATAGAATTTGTTTAGACAAATCAAATAAGGCCCAAAAAAAATAATGAAAATGATACTTCATTTAATTGTTCTTTGTCTTTAACCAGATCCAGAAATAAGACCAAAACCAAAGTGGATATTATCTATATTATGGAAAATAATAAGTTTTATAGATAACTTTTGATATTTGTAGTATGTTTAAAAGCTGCTATAAATACTTCAAAATAATAAATTTTATTTCTTAAATATGAATTAGAGAATAATTGTTAGAAAAAGAAGTCCACGTCCAGTAATACGATATCTAAAATATTGTCCTAAAATGACTGTTGCCTCTATTATGAAAATATAATATGTATAGGGATATTCTTCTTCCCCAAAAATAACCTTAGCTAATAGTAATCTTTATTAATCCTTTACTTTTCAATCTAGTCCGTAATCGTAAATGAAAAGATGTAAAAATATATAATATTGAATTAGATTTGTCTGTAGAAACACATAGATCAACCCCGCCTTAAACAATAATAAAATCTTAATCTCCAATAGAGAGAAAATTTAGTTATCTTTCCTTTTAAAGAACAACAATAGGATAAGAAAGCCCTGTTAAATAATAAGAAAGTATTTATTAGATAGAATATGCTGATGACACAGTATATTATGGGCAAATAACTATTACAAAAAAGCATGGTATGGGTGCTATGTATGATAAAAATAAAAATCTAATATATATGGGATAATGGAATGATGATAAATATCATGGACTTGGTATTTTAGTTAAGAATGGTTATACTTACAAAGGTGAATTTATAAATGGTGTTCTAGAAGGATAAGTAATAGAGGAAGGAAATGAAAGAAAGTTTTATGGATATTATAAAAATGGTTAGAAAAATGGACCTGGAACATTATATGAGAATTCAAAAACTATTAAAGGAATTTGGAAGAATGATATTTTAGATTAAGAATGTTGATACACTAATTTGAATGTTTTCAATTTATACAAATTATTTTTGTTTAAATTCTATAGTTTGACATCAATTAACTTGCTTTTAAAATTAACATATTTTTAGGAATGTTTGATGCAATTTTATTTTATTTTTTTAATTATGTAAAATGTTAAATAAATGAGAGAAAAATATGAGAATATCAAATAACACAATCCTAATAGAAATGTTAGTGCAAGATCATTTCATAGTCAAACACCTTCAAAAGAATAATACCAAGTTGCTTTTTCAAGCAGCTAAAAATCATAATAAAAACAAATTATATAGATTGGAAAAACTTTATTATGTAGTCCTTGTTATAATAAAAGATTATTAAATAAATAATAATTGAATAAAAAGTAAGAATTTGAATTAGAGAAAGTAAATTTACTATTATATCATAGAGGTTGTTGATGAAGTAAATGGAATAAAATTAATTACTTGAATAATAAAAAATAAACTTTGAAGTTGGACAATTATCTTATAGAAAGCAATAGGAATAATAAAATCTAGTTATTTCAAAATATTTAAAGGATTAATAAAGAGAAAGAGATAGACAAATTAAGGAGTAAGAAATATAATAATAAAATTTAATTATAAAATAAAATTAAGAAATATTATTAAAAGAAAAATTTGAAAAAAAAAAAAAATAGAATAGTTTACATTAAGAACTTGCAAGCTAAGTTGAATAACAAAAAAGATTTAAAAAGTTAGATTAAATGTCCTAATCTATGGAATTTGATGATCCTTATTGGAGATATCAAGCATAAGAAGAGAAAGAAATACAAAGAAGAAAAAATTATCAAATGTTTTATAACAATAATAATTGGCAAAATCATGAAAAAGAATAAATAAAGAAAAAATAACAAGAAAGAGATGTTAAAAATAAAGAAATTGATTAAAGAATTAAGACTTTATAGGATTATCATAATTAATTAGAATAAGAAAAATAAGAGAAATAATAAATATAACATTAACTCATACTAGACTTAAATGCTTAAGTAAAACTTAAAAAAACAAAATAAGAAGCTATCAAATTAATTGAATAATAAAAATAACGTTAAAGAGATCAAGAAGTTATTTAATTAGAAAAACAAAGATAAAACTAAGAAATTTGTAATAAAAAGAAAGTAAATTAAGAAATAATAGATGGCCTTAATTAATAAATTGAAATGTAAAAATAATAAAATACAAAATAATAACCAGAATAAATTTAAAGTGATTTTTACATTTTAAAACCAGTTGTAGAAAAGTAAACTATATCTTGTGCTGATTGCAAGAAATAGTAGGTTCCACACTAATTAAGTTATGCTTGAACATAATGGTATAATATTTCAAAATCATTATAAAACTAAAAATATTACGGTTTATTTTATAAATTTAAAAATATATTTTATGGAGTATTTTTATAAATACTGTATTTTCTTCAATCTCACAATCCAATTATTTTAAACTCAAATTTAGATTTTAAATTAATTTCTTATAATGTGAATGGTATAAAGAGAAGTGAAAAGATTTAGAAAGATTAATAACGGCAAAGAAAATATCATTTTTAGAAAAGGATTGTAGATCCATACTGCAAAGTATATATAATAATTCAAATTATCTAAGATACTTAAAAATCAAATAAAGGAATAAATCAAAATATCTAACTATATATAAAATCAAAAAGCATAACTATATTTCATTAATTATAAAAAATGAATTAGACTAATATTACGGATAATTCTCATTTATCACATTGTTAGTTAATGATTTAAGAAGAGTCTTAAATTGGTCTAAATAATTCAAATATCGATCACTCTATTCCTGATTAAACTCTTGGATTTCCAGCTTTTCAGTTAGAAGAACAAAAAAAGCAAGATCAGATTTCAGATTAAAAAAATAAAATGTTTATTTGTGAAGTAAAGAAAAAATAATTTTCTTAATTAATGGTTCAATTTAATATACAGCATTTCAAAAGAAAAATGTTATCTTATATACACCCAATGAAAGAATTATCAAAAAATTAGTTTAATATGATTTCTGATAAATCCTCATCCTATAAAACTTACCCTAAAAAATAATTATAAAAAACATCAGTTATTAAATAGAATAGAGCAGTTTTAGGGTTTCGAAATATAATTAAAGAGTGTAATAATACATTGATAGTATAAACAAAAAAAAAATTAATATAATTAATAAATATGATACCAATAATAAATCCTTATTCGACATAGAAACTGATATGGGATGGACTAATTACAATAATGAGAATATATTTATTAATTTGGATTCCAATTTTAATAGCATTTAAAAATGGTACTTTAGAAGATTTGAATGCATATACACTAAATGTTTGCAGTAGTGCTTTTTTAATTGATTTGTTATTGTAAACATTCACAATTAAATTTGATAAAGGTTTTCCTGTAAAAGATCGTTTTTAATTATTATAGCACTAAATGAATTGGTGGGCTGCTATTGAATTATTTAGTTTTATTATATCTTTATTTTTCAGCATATAATTTCATTAAGACAATTACTCAATGTCAGTAGTAGAAAATAGAGGGTGGACAAAAATATTATTGTTATTATTAATAGTTTAAACAAAGAATATTTTATAATTTATAGAAAACTTATAATACGTAATGAAACCAAGTAAAACAGTAAATTCTTTAATCGATTTGATTAAGTTTATAAGTTTAGTTTTATTAATCTAACATATATTTTCATGTATATGGTATTATTCTTAACATTTTTAAATAGGGTAATTGTAGGAACTTATGAACATATAAAAACTAATGTTTCATGGTTAGATTCAGCAAAATTAGATATAGATCAACATTGGCTTGATATATATTTAGAAGCCTTATATTTTATAAGTGTTACTACTTTTACTGTTGGATATGGAGACATTACACCATAAAGTAAAGTATATTAATAACTATAGATGATTTTGAAAAATGTTTTACAATTGCATACATGTTCTTTTGTACATTGTAACTGTCATATTCTGTTAATACTATAGGATCAATTTTACTGTAATTAAAAGAAAATAATGAAGAAATAAAATAAAAAATAACATCTGTTACTGAATACATGAGTAATAGATAAATGAGTAAAGGATTATAATTTAAGTAATCAATTTAATTTTAAATATTATTAGAGTTAGAGAATATTTAAGTTATTATTGGTAGCAAGAAAACATTTAAAAAAAAGCTGAAACTGTTGAGATTATAAAATTATTGCCTGAGGAACTTCAAAAAAGTATTCAAAGGGAAGGAACTTCTAATTTATTAAATAAGTGCCAATATTTTAAAGAAAAATTCACTCCTGGATTTTTAAATTAACTAATTGATATTGCATATGTATAAAGCTATTAACCAGGAATAATAATTAATGACTTACAAAACATATATATTATTGAATATGGATATGTAGAAATATTATAAAATCAAGTAAAATTATGATTTAAATTTTTAGACAATTGTTGGTCAATTAGGCTAATTTTAATAATTTGGATTAAAGAAAGTTTCTTTTGATTTTTTAAGTGAAACTAAATATAGAACAAAAGCATTCACAAATCTTCTTATAATTCCATATACATCTTTAGTACAATTAGTTGCATAAAATCAAAATTAATTGGAAATAGTTTCTTAGAATAATTTCAATATTTTAAATGATTGTATAATATGTAAAGGTTCTCATGCTACAGAATTATGTTCTTAAGTGCATTTTATTCCAGATAATGAAAAAGTTATTAAGAAATATTTATACAATTCTATATAAAATAGAGGAAGAATAAAGAGAAAACCTAAAGATTAATCTTAAGGATGGAGAAATGAATTAAAGTTTATATAAGACACAGCTGAATAACTTTAATAAGATTGTAATAATGAAATTGAACTTCTATTTCCTCATAACGAAAAATAATAGTAAATAAATGTTTGTACTCCTCGTTCATTACTTGAAATAAATGATGAAAAGCCAAAATCCATTTAAATTAATATGCCTGTAGTATAAAAAGGAAATTATGAATAGAAATTTGAGTTTAGAGAAGCTAGTAAAAGTGAAACAAAATTAGAATTGAAAAATGATATGTTAATTTTAGATCCATTTTTACAGTTTGAAGCTATTTCTTAAAAATAAAAATAGATTCTATTATTTAATGAAAAAATTTAGGATGATATATATCTACTTTATAAAAAATTAGAATCTATTTTTCGTTAAAATGAATGTGAAATTGATAGATATAAAAGCTATAAACTCTATTATAAGAATTGGAATATTGAAAGAATAATAGTAGAATATAATTTTGCCTCGAATCATATACAACAAAAAAGAACTGAAAAAATGAGTCTTGAGTAGATATCAAAATACCTCTTGTTCCCTAAATTGTATTTCTAAAAATTTCGGACTGAGAAACCCTCTGAAAATCTTTAATAATCTCAAGTACAAGTTAGTAAAAGTAAAAATAATTTATAATTTTTAGATATAAGAACTTCAAAAAAAAAGAAACGGATTGCCATTCATCCAGATTTTTGAATATTTAAATATTTAATTATTTTTAATTTTATAATTGATTAAAATTAAAACATTAGTCACTCCATACATATGTTTAAAGATATAATGAGTTAATCTAATATTAAAATTTATATTTTATTATTGAATGAAATGAAATCACCACAATTTAATACAAAAAATAAAAGACTAGATTTAAATTTAAATTAATTAAACTAGTTCAATCTAATCAAAATAGAAATTATTATTTTTCTACAAAATATAATACCAAATCAAAATTTTTCAGGGTTACATTTTGAGATATTTAATGATTCAGTATCATCATTTAATCATCTGAAGAAATCAAAAAATATCATAAAAAATATTATCATACATGGTTTTTACAAAAATTAATGTTAAAATAAAATTTAGAAAGAAATATAGAATAAATAGTACTGCCTATATTTTATGAATAAAAATAGAAAATATCAGGATTTTATATCCAGTGCAATACTGAAAGATTTAATTTGAGTACTGATAAAAAATGCATATATTTATGTATAGAGAGCAAAGGAGAAATATGAGTAGATTAAATAGAAATATAGAAATAATTATATATATGAATAGTAATTATAAAAGGATATGGAATTACTTATCTAAATAAGATTTAAAGATTTGGAATAAAATATAGAATGAAAATTGCAAGTGAGAATGGATAAATATATATGTTGTATTCAATGTGAGTGACTATTTTTAAAAAAAAAGAAAGAGAGTAAAGATTGAATTCATAATAGATAATAGAAAAAAAAAAATGAGAAGAAAATGGATGAATTGTACTATAATTAATATTTAATATAAATTAATGAATGACAATAGATAGAAAGATCTTGAGAGTCCAATTTTCTCAGTTGTTTGTTTTCCTGATTCTGTTTTAGTGAGTTTAGGAGGAGGAGGAAAAAAATATGGATTAGTTAATAGTCTAGTATTGTTTAAATAATAATCATTAAGCAATTATTTCCAAAACCAATATATGGAATTTTGAAGGATCCTATAGATACTTTATAATTAGGAGAAGAGATATTCTAAAGATTAAGATTAAACACTAAAACTGGATTGATAGTAGGAAATAGTGATGATAAATGTGTGATATTAAAAGTTGAAGATAAGAAGATTTCATTAATAACTAAATTTTAGACTGACAGAGCAGCTAAGGAACCTTGTTAAAATGATGGGCTATTTAATTATTAAGGAGATTCTTTAGCAACAGGAGGAGAAGATGGAATTTTGAAGGTTTGGAATAAGGATTATTAATTGAAATACACAGTAGATATGAAAGGCAAAATTTAATCATTAGATTATCATATTTCTAATGGAATGGTATATCTAATTTTGACAATAGCTAATTGTGGCCACTGATAATGAAGAATGTAAAATATTAAAAGAAAACCACGTGTTGCATAAATTAGATATTTCATCAAATAATATTCATAAATTACAATTTCACTCTGCTATCTTCTCATTAGATGGAACTACTATATTTACATTTAAGAATCCAATGAGAGGAGCATCTTATATGACAAGTTGGAGAATAGAAAATGATAATATAAAGCCATTAAAGACAATAAAGGTTCATGGACATCCAGTAGTTAGTAATTGTTAATCAAAAGATGGCATGTTTATTGGAATTGGATGTTCAGATGGAACCGTAAAAATAATAAATTCTAGGTATCATATATAAATTTAAGATTTAGAAAATTAGATGTTGAATGTAGTAAATTAGCTCATGAACTTCCTTGTACAGCCTTATGTTTTACTCCTGATTCTAGATTCATTATTTCAGGATCAGTTGATGCTAAATATCATTTTCTATAAAATACTAGACCATAAGGAATGTTTTCTTTACTATCTAAATTTTGGCTGTTTGGGATGTTGTTAGCATACTTATTTATTGTAATCAGAGATTTATTTGAATGAGAGTTATTAAAAGTTATTTAATTGTTGTTTATTATTACATAAAAACTATATATTTAATGCATAACAGAAACAAAACAAGTAAAGGATAATCTTAACCTTTAATATAATTGAGTATTGATTTAGGAAATCATAAATGTGATCGAATTGCTCTTTATAGAGACACAGATCCATATCTAGAGGCTAAATAATTTGTTTAAAGAAATCATCTTCCATAATAGATGGTTTAAGTTCTATCTAATAGTATTATTAAACAAATGAAAGCCTACGATGAAATTATGATGATAACGTATGTAATTTAATCAATAATTAAAGGACACTCAAACAGAAACTAACTATTTGCGAAATTTAAAATCTAATCATGATGAATTATAAGCTAAACAAAGAACTCCAAGTCCTAAAAGATTTTAACCTAGTCCTAAGTAAATGCATAAATAAAATCTGTCTAAAAGTCCATCTAATATCTCTTTGCATGATGAATTACCTACTGATAAAGTTGTTGTGAAGAAACTATTCTAAATTTTAGATTCTGATTAGGATGGATTAATATCTGCCAATAAAGTTAATTATAATAAAATACCAATCTAGTTAAGAAACAGAGTACATTTTTTTAAATCATTTAGATCACTGTTCATCTGGAATAATCATTAATTCCATATGAATTTGAAGAATTATATGAAAAATTAAAAAGGGATTCATAAGAAGAATATTTCATTACTTTGAAATTGATAAGCTAAATTTTAGATATTCCAAAAGTTAAAGTACTAATATGAGTAATTTACAATCATATAAAGAATGAATCATTTAAATTTCAAATTTCATTTTTAAGTTTCTCATCCTATATAACTACTATTCAAACATTTAAAATTGATTTTTTTACATCTTTATAGCTTCAATACAAATGTTTTATAATTCTATAAGTATCATTTTATAAATGATGATGATGACTAGTTTATTTATTTTCATTATTTTCCAGTAAATCTCTTTAACCAACAATAATTTTAGATGAAATTTGAGGCATATGAATAAGCTATACTTTGATAAACATAAATTACTCTTTAAGAAAATAAAATTTATAAATAAAAATACCAAACTTTTCTTGCATTATCTCAATATTAGCTTGAGAAATAAAAAAATTTAAAACTACCTTATATTATTATACTTCATCTAATCANAGTATTGATTTAGGAAATCATAAATGTGATCGAATTGCTCTTTATAGAGACACAGATCCATATCTAGAGGCTAAATAATTTGTTTAAAGAAATCATCTTCCATAATAGATGGTTTAAGTTCTATCTAATAGTATTATTAAACAAATGAAAGCCTACGATGAAATTATGATGATAACGTATGTAATTTAATCAATAATTAAAGGACACTCAAACAGAAACTAACTATTTGCGAAATTTAAAATCTAATCATGATGAATTATAAGCTAAACAAAGAACTCCAAGTCCTAAAAGATTTTAACCTAGTCCTAAGTAAATGCATAAATAAAATCTGTCTAAAAGTCCATCTAATATCTCTTTGCATGATGAATTACCTACTGATAAAGTTGTTGTGAAGAAACTATTCTAAATTTTAGATTCTGATTAGGATGGATTAATATCTGCCAATAAAGTTAATTATAATAAAATACCAATCTAGTTAAGAAACAGAGTACATTTTTTTAAATCATTTAGATCACTGTTCATCTGGAATAATCATTAATTCCATATGAATTTGAAGAATTATATGAAAAATTAAAAAGGGATTCATAAGAAGAATATTTCATTACTTTGAAATTGATAAGCTAAATTTTAGATATTCCAAAAGTTAAAGTACTAATATGAGTAATTTACAATCATATAAAGAATGAATCATTTAAATTTCAAATTTCATTTTTAAGTTTCTCATCCTATATAACTACTATTCAAACATTTAAAATTGATTTTTTTACATCTTTATAGCTTCAATACAAATGTTTTATAATTCTATAAGTATCATTTTATAAATGATGATGATGACTAGTTTATTTATTTTCATTATTTTCCAGTAAATCTCTTTAACCAACAATAATTTTAGATGAAATTTGAGGCATATGAATAAGCTATACTTTGATAAACATAAATTACTCTTTAAGAAAATAAAATTTATAAATAAAAATACCAAACTTTTCTTGCATTATCTCAATATTAGCTTGAGAAATAAAAAAATTTAAAACTACCTTATATTATTATACTTCATCTAATCAACATATTTAAATATAAATACACTTTAATTCAGAAATTTATATTATGAACTTTCTTTTTGTAAAATTGATATCCAACTGTAAAATTATTAAATCAACCTATATAGATATATTCATATTTATTATGCAAATATAATTGAATGAATAATACATTTTGCAAACAAAAATTATTAGAAGAATAATATAATAATTTGCTATTTAATTTTTAATTGATTAGATAAATTAATATCTTAAGTTTATTGTGTGTCTATTAGAATTTTATAAGAATCTCAAATTTTTATCGATATTATGTATTTTATAGTTGAATGAGAAACTATTATTTTGATTTATATAAAATATAGAAAATATAAGTGTTCATAAATAATTGTTAAAGATCTTTTTTTCTTCTTTTTTTAAATTGCATTATATTATTGTTAAAGAATAAAATTATTTTTGGAAAAATATTTAATTAAAATATTAAAAGATGATCATATTTAGCTTCTTTTTTTTAAGTTTATCTATAAATTCAATATTTTAAGCGGTTTAATTTGTAAGTATTCAATTTCGGTTTTCTTTAATAATAAAACAAAGAAAAAATAGTATATAATAGTTTATGTAAATTCTATAAATAATATGTAAAACATAAATTATCAAGATAGCAAATTTTAGTTTGAATGTTTTAGAAAGCATCTTCTTAAGGATGTCCTTTATTATGGATACCTATTACCAAACTATCTAATTTTGACAACAGTAAAATGATTACTTATAAATAATAGACAAAATAGTCATAAACACCAAAATATAAGGTGCCATTATTATTAACAACTTAAATATAATTCATTATTAAATAGCCTACATTTGAGGTTGAATAGTTTGGATTCTTATATAAAGAGTAATTCAAATATTTTTATGCTAATCCAAAAAATATATTGTAACTTAAAGAACTTATGGCTTGTTAAGCAATGTTTAAAGAAATTAGTGATTTTTATCAACCAATAAGTATGTTGGGTAGAGGAGGTTCTTCAAAAGTATATTATGTGATATACTTTTTAGGTTTATTTGGTGATGAAAAAAAACTCTAAAGATCAATATGCTTCTAAGTGTGTAGATAAACGATACTTAATAGAAGATGGTGGATTTGTAATCATTTTATTATTATTATAGAATGGATTATTTAATGAAATTTAACTTATGTAAAAGATGAATCATCCTAAAATAATTCATTTAGAAGAACTTTATGAAGGGGAAAATACATTTTATTTGCTTTTAGAATATTTATAAGGTTAAAGTCTTCATGAATCATTTAATAAGAGATAAGTGTTATTTGAATAGGAATAAATATAAACTATTATGTTTGTAAAATTATTTTAATAATTTTAGCAATTATTGACAGCTGTTTAATATATGCATTCTTTAGGAATTATGCATAGAGATTTAAAACCTGAAAATATCATGTTTAAACATTAAAATGCTTATGATGAATTAAAAATAGTTGATTTTGGATTGGCAACATCTATTTATGCTGAAACATATCCATATCCGAAATGTGGAACTCCAGGTTATGTTGCTCCTGAAATTGCTAATCTAAAAGATTTAAATTAAAAATACGATTTGATATGTGATCTATTTAGTGTTGGTTGTATCTTTTATAAATTGTAAATATATTTTAATTTTTAGATTGACAGGCAAAGAATTATTTCCTGGAACAGATTACTAAGAAATTTTAAAATTAAATAAAAAATGTTAAATAAACTATGACCTTCTTACTTTATATAGAGTACCAAAAGAAGCCATTGAATTAATTGCATTGTTATTAAAGTTTAATCCTAAAGAAAGAATATCTGCTTAAGCTGCATTAGAACACAATTATTTTTAATTAAAATTTTAAACAAAAAGAGGCAAATTTTAATAAAATAATAATAAATACACACCAGTCTTTTAAACTCAAAACTTTAATCCTAAGGATAATCATTAAAAACAAAATTTTCATATAGAAGATGATATAGTTGAAGATGAAAATGCTCATTCTTTGAAAGTTCCTGTTATGTAAAATATGAAAATATTTGGTTAATTTGTTTGTAAAATCAAACCATAAATAACACCTACTTTAGCAAGAAGAAACTTTAAAAAATTTTAAACTTCAGACTTTAATTCTACATTATCCCCTAATTCACCTAATCCATAACTAAATGAACATAAACCATCTTTAATTATTAATGCTTAAACTTAAGAATTAATTAATGATATTCAAACAAAAAATGACCATCAAATTAATTAAATGGGTTAAATAGATGAAGTACAAGAAGAATAATTATAATAAAATATGTGATGATTTTATTTATTCATATATTTTTATTTTTCTAATATAAAGTTCTATTTTCTAGATAAATTAAAATCAATTATGATACATAATAACATTAATTGCGATATATACAAAAATGAGTATTCAATCATAACAAATCGAATTATAAATCTACAACTATAAATTATGAAGAATTCTAACAAATTGGATTAGAATGAATTAAGTTTCACATTATAAAAATTAATTTAATGATTTCTTATAATCAATAATTTATCTTAAGTGTTTTATAAATTAGGCAGATCAAATAAAATATATACTATTTTTAATAAATTAAAAGTTTAAAATATATTAATAATTTTATATGTTATATTAAATATTTATTTTGAAAAATCATATAATTTACTACTAAATTTATAAAATATAAAATAACTTTATATGAATATGAAGCTAAAATTCAAAACTTTTAAGAATTTTAAATTAATTCCCCCAAATAGTTAAGATTAATAGTTTATTCAGTTTCCACATTATTTTCTTTTAATTATTTGATATGTTAAGTGATTTTCTTTTACATTAATTAAAATCGTTTTCTAGCATTATTTTTAGGTGAGCCTAATGGTGTTGTTTATTTCGACAAAATTCTTTCAGAATCCAACTTAAATTTTAAGGCAAAGACTTAGCTCATCTCTTCTGGTGTTTATGAATCAATTAAAAGTTCTTCAATGTAACCTGTTTCAACTCTAAATAACCAACCATGAACCATAACAGCTAAAAAATAAATGAATTAAAATACGATTTCCTTTTTGCCAAGATTTTTAGATGATTGGATTTTTCCAAATATTGATTACTTAGGCTCTAATATTCAATTAACTTAGACAATTCAGTTTATCATCTTCATTATCTATGGATTCAATAAGATCCTGATGTTTTTCATAAACTATTTTAATTTGATTTAACCATAGATCAAGTAATCCTCCAACAGAGTCTTATTACATAGCAGCCTTAATTCCACCACAACATGTGTGACCCATTATGATTATACTATGAATATTAAGATGTTCAACAGCATACTAAATTACACAGTTCAACTTTTAAAGATTATTTATTCAATTACATTTAAGTCTGTTGGTATTACTAAATTAGCAATATTTCTATGGATGAAGATTTCTCCAGGATCTGTTTCTGTTAATTCATTAGGAGGAGCCCTTGAATCAGAACACCCTATTAGTAAATACTTTGGACTCTATCCTTTTGATAACTTTTTAAAATATTAATCATCTATCGATAATTTTTTTGACACATATTGCTTATTTCCTTCTAAGACTTTGTTATACTGACTAATCTCTTATATTGAATTGCTAACGATCTGTTAATTCATAGAAAAATATTATCAATTCAGGAATTTACATCAACGTATATATGAATCCCAATTAACATTATTTTATGGAAAATGACTCATCAATAAAACCATTCGATAAAATTGATATTATTTTAATTAAAAATTAGAAAAACTATATATATTTAATAACTATTCTTTGATGTATTATATATTTATTTTAATATCCTTAAAGGAAATTTCATCTACAATTGATAATGATCTTTATGGATATATGATTAATTATATATCTTAGAAATTAATTTATTCCTAAAATAATTTCATATCCCAAATATTTCTTTTTTTTTTAAATTAGAATATTGATTAAATATCTATCTAAAATTATAGATGAAATATTTCAAGAAATTATAAAGAAATGGTTTTAAAAAGTATTAATATATATAATGAAGGTCAAAAAATATAATTTTTTTGAAGTAAGTATTTAATTAAAATTTAGAATCAAATAAGCAAGCAATATTATAAATTAAAATAAATTATTAAAAAATTAAAAATAATGAATTAGAGAAAATATAAAAAAATGAGAACCAAAAATAAACTCAAGCTCAGAGATGAAGTATCTACAGAGATTGAATAATTTAGTAAAGAAAAGATAATTTTAAAAAGATTAGCGGAAAATCACAAAATTGAATATTTAGTTCAAAATTAAAAATAAGAAATATGGAGAAGAAGTGATGATATAAACATAGAATTAATTAACTATTATGAAGAGAACCAAAGAAAATCTCCAAAAATTTTAGGTAAATCCTTAATTCGAATTTGTGATCTTGAAGTGAAGAATGATTAAAAATATTTGAAAGTTTAACTAGAAGGAGACAATTAACTTTAACTATTTCCCTATTCATTTATGAAGCTTCACGTTCCTCATTAATTAGTCCAATTTTTACTTTCGATTTATAATCCATATATGTGAAATATTTTATATAAAATAAATGACATCTACTTCAAATTAATTAGTATTTCCTCCAATAGGATAGCATATAAAGGAATTATAAGATTAATTGAAAGAATCTATTATTTAATATAAAGAAGATAGATATTAAGAATATAAAGATGTGAAGAAGAAGAGAATGAAAGAAATTAATGAATAGAATAAATATAAAATATTTCATAGAAAAGGTTGAATAATAGAATTATTATAATTAGTATTTAATTCTTAGAGTAAATAATATGGAGGCATATTTGAGAAAGAGAAAGACATTTATTTATGTAAAGAACCTTTAATAAATGATTATCTGAAATACCATATAATTGAGCCATAAAGAAATTTAGAAAAAGGTCTAATAGAGAGTACATAATAATGTTTAATTTAGTTAAAACTGGCAGAAAAGAGTTTTATGATGGTAGTTGTTTTGGTGAAGTTCCATTATCAAAATTAGGATAAAAAGAAAGAAAGTAAAGGGAGTTTTGGATAAAAGAAGAGGAAAGATAAGCAAAAATTAAATAGAAAACTTTAAGAGAATAACAAGGAGGAGTATAAAAAAAAATAAATTAATCAAAAAGATTATAAGAATTAAAGGTTTTTATCCCGAATAAATTCAGTCTCGATTTATTTGATGAACATCCATCATAAATATTAAGATTAACGTAAATAATAATAATTTAGTTAATTAGTTAATTACATTAACACTCAAAAACTATGAAATGGAAGCCAAATAGTTTTTATGGGGAGGTATTCGATAATAGTTTTAGTAAATTATCAGATTAAAATAAATCTATATTATAGGATATTGAAAAGACAGATTAATAAGAATGAAAGATAAATAATTTCTTTTAATAAAATTGATAAAATTTCAGTCTTTTTTTGCATATTTCATTAAAGGATTATTTTCAGCTTATTTTGCAAATCTTGAAGGTTTGATTTATGGTGATGGTTAATATTAGTTATTTTTCTTTGTAGGAGTTCCTATAGATTATGCACTATCAATGGAATCAACTTTTCCTTTCAATAATGGTGAATCATTGCCTAATGCTTTAGTAGAATCAATTTATTTTTATTGTTAGATTTATTTTTACATGATTAAGCCTGGAGATTGTTTTGGTGATAAAAGAGGAGAGTTAATATTTCTTGTAGCATCAAATTTAGAATACCTAAATAAAAATATTAGAATTACTCATCATTAATTTTATTCATCATATTTTGAATATCATTGCCTTCATCAACTTCATCAATATTTTATTGATCCTCTTTTTCTGCTTCAAACATTTACTTTGTTATTTCAGATAAAAATTGATGTTGTAAACATTTTTCAGCATTAATTCTTTTTTTTGGATCTTTTTCTAACATCTACCTTAATAAATCAATAGCAGCTCCTGGGGCATTTTAAAATTATTTAATTTCAAAATCAATATTAGCTTCTCTATTTTATTTAACAACAGTAGCATAACTTTTTCCATTAAATGCTGGTTTACCAGCTAATAATAAATAAAACACTAATCCCAAACTATAAATATCACAAATAGATGAATATTTAGATTTCATATCCTTTATATTAATAACTTCAGGTGCGACATAACCAGGAGTTCCACATCTACAATATAAATAAACTGGTTCATTAACATGAGTGGCTAAACCGAAATCAGCTATTACGACTGTTTCCATTTTTCTAATATTTATTTGTATTATTTTTTTACTTTGGAGTTTTAAACAATATATTTTCAAGTTTTAAATCTCTATGCATTATTTCTTTTTTATGCATTTCCTATAAACCAATTAATATTCCAACCATTATTTATTATATTTATTTTGTATTAATTGGAACTTTATCCTTTATTAAATCATATAATGATCCTCCTTCAAGTAATTCTAAAGCTACATATAATGAATTTGAAGTTTCATAAACTTCAAATAATCTCATTAAATGTTTGTTACGTAATTTTCTCATTATGGCCAATTCATTTAAAATTGCTTCCTTTCCATTTTCTTCTGCATATGCTGCCTATTTTGCAAAAGCTTTAATTGCCATTTCCTCTCCATCTTCTATTCTTTCAGCCATATAAACCTTTTATAAAATAACTATTCATACTGTAGCAAAATTTCCTTTTCCTATTTTTTTAAATACTCTAAACATATGATGAAATTGCCATTAATTGATTCTTGGACTTAAGAATTATCTCCATTCAAGTATTAATTTTGCTGAAGCACTCAATTTATATGTAGGCATTTAATCTGCATTATCTCTTAAGAATTAAATTCCTATTATTGCACCAAGTGAATCGTCATCTTCATCTTTTTTCTAAACTGCTTATCTTAATATTTCAAATTTAGTATCAAAATCTAACTTTATACATTTTTTTGGTTGTCCATCCTTCTAACCAATTATAAAGTTTTTTACCTTAACACATACTACATAATTATCATAACCATAAAGTAATCTAGTTTTACCATTAGGTTTTGTAAATTCTCCTTAAATTATTAGATGCTCTTATTTTGGCTTAAATTAGTTTGGAATAGGAATCCACAGTTTTTAATGCATCAAAATTTTGAAATAATAATTATTAAATTGATTATCATAATGATTTTGTATAAATAGTCTAACACTTAAGTATTCCTAAAATATAATTCCTTAGTTTTAAGAATATAAATAAGTAATAATCAAAATTTTATGTGAATTTTAATTGTGAATTTTGAATAATGTGTATATTTAAGATTTAAATATTCTTTCTTAAAACTTTTATCCTTAATTTATTTTACAAAAACTGTTTTACTATACTTATTAATGTCTTTAAACACATTCTAAGTTAACTCTCTATCAATATTAATACTTTTATCACTTCCTCTGATTTTAAATGTTAGTTATTAAATATTTGATAAGTTAATTAAAAAGTTACCTTTTTATTATAAATAAAGGACTATTTTGCTCTTGAAAGATTGAAATTAAATCTAAACCAAATGTCTTGATTAATAAATATTTACTAATTTTAACATCCAATTATAGTTTTATATGGTATTTTTTAATTCTGATATTTTTTATAGTAAAATTTTATGAAAAAGATTTAAAATTCAATTTTTTATTATTTTAGAAATAATCTCAACATTGAGTAGTTGACTAAATAAATTAAAATACAATAAAAATATATGATCTCAAATAATATTTCTTGGAAATAAAAAACTTTTAAATCAATACAAATTAAAATTTCCTCATTTTAGATTATCTGAATGTTTAATATAATTTATGAGTATGCTCAATTCTTATTGATTTAATCTAATTTTATTAAATGATAATTTTTTATGTAATTTTTCAATTGAATTTTTTATCACATTTTTAACTATATAATTCATTCTGATTATTTTTGGAAACTATTTTTCTTCTTCTGACAAACATGCTTCATTTTTCTTATCTGAATTAATATTATGCATTAATCCGATTACACTTAAAAGTAAATTTGTTACTACAGATGACTAAAAATAATATCTTTTATTAAGAACTCCTTATTGAAAAGTTGAAACACGTTTGTCAAAAATATGAGCTTTAGTTTACAAAATGAGAATGTTTAATTGATTTAATAATACAAAAGAAGTTAAATATGTTAGAAATATCACAAGCAATGTTATGCAAATATATAAAATCAGATTTTTATAAATTAAGTCATTGTACTTATCATTAATAAGAGATAGTTATAAAAATTATACTCTTTTTAAATAGTTGGTATTTTTTACAAGTAATAGAATATAAGGAGTTTCATTAATATTAGCAGTTTGAATAATACTGGAATCATTCAATTTTGAATTATATCTACAAAGAATATTTTGTTACTAACTTAAATTATCACAACTATTAGAATAATTTGCTCTATGATGAAAATTTAAAATTTATTCAAAGTCTGTTTGATTAAAACCAGAATAATTTTATTCTGATATAGAAAAAATTGTTTAATTAGGATTATCATAAAGTTTACTATAAATCACCTATCCTTATAGATTAATAATATTGACAGTTGTTTATTGATCTTAATATTTAAAAGCTTATGTCTAATTAAAATCAATATCTTTAGCAATAACTCCTTCAATTTTATTATGGAGACTTAATAAATTTGAAGTCATAGCAATACGAATTCCACCTCCACTTAAAAAAATTTTATATGGATTTCCATAAATTATTTTCCTAAAGTCTTTGCAGTTAATTGTTTAATTTCTATGAAATGTATACCATGGTCTAGAATGTGGTTTAAATCCAGGTTTAAAATAAAATCCTTGACTCAGGGTATAGAATTATGCATAATTTGCATGACTAAAATATAAAGCTTATGAATTATCAATTGAGTTTCTAAATTAAGTAAGTATTGATGTTATTTAATAAACAAATTTTAATTCTTTAATGTCTTCTTAAGTACAGGTTTCATTAAATATACCAAAACAGTATGAAGAACTATAACAATAGGTATCGTTTGTTCTCTCCTTATTTAAGCATTAAACTGGATCAATAATTGTAAATGAAGTTTATTAGAAGTATTAATTAAATCTATTAATAATTGAAATCTGCTAATTTGCAGAATTTAAGAGTGTCAAAATGTTATTCTTGTACATCCATACACTATTCAATTCTTATTTTGTTTATTTAATAAATATTTGATCTGCTGATTCTTCTATCATTTTTTAAACCAAAATTTGGCCGCCTATTATGATTGTGGTTAACAAAGCAAAAACTAAAATCAAACTTGCTATTTGAATTGTTAGGATTTGATGTCTTATTCTCCAATTTTTATTGATGTACCAAAACTTTTTATTTATCAATTCATTTAATATCATTTAATTATTATTTGAGTTTTTATGAAAAAAAAAGATATTCCTTAGAAGTACAATCGAAAAATATTGTTGTTTTTAACTTGGTAGAATTTCAGAAACAATTATATTCTCTATTAAAGAAAATTACTTAATAAATTATGATGACAGAATAAATAATTTTTTTTTAATTTAGTAAGTCTCACTAATTACTTATTAAATTATATTTTAAATTAGCAAAAGCAACCTCGAAAGTTATTTTCAGATTAAACTTATAATCTATAAATTAATTATGATAAAATATTGATAATAATTTTTAAGGGTACTTTTAAATTAATAAAATAAATTATTAATCTTAGAAGATAAAACAGAAGATGTAATTAAAATTATTACTTTTAATAGTTTAATAAAATAATTTTAAAATTCTAATCATAAAATTGCTGATATTTTCCATTCTTATCCATATTTTAAATGCAATCTTGACTCTAAGTTACACTTACACGTTTCCATAATCATTTGATGCTATTTAAGTTTAAAAAAGACTCAGTTTAGCATATAATCATAAAAACTTTTCATAAATATTAAAAATTTTTAAATATTCTAATTATTTAATACATTTGAATAAAAAATTATTTAGGCTTTGATTAAAATCTTAAGGCGTAATTATTAATTATAAATAAGGTACAATTAAATTTAAATTGAATTAATTTTGGATTTATTCATATATATAAATGTATATGACATAGTTTATAAATTCAGATCAAAGATTTCTTACTTAAAGAAACAATCAAAAAAAGAGGGTACCATTTTAAGATTTTTGAGTTATTTAATATATAATCTTAATATAATTCATTTAATTTTCATACTAGTATTTCTAAAAAAATCACATAATTTTTTATTAGAATTTTCATAGATATCTGAAAAGTTTTACATTTATTTTACTTCTAATTTAACAGAAGGTTCAGATTTTACAGCTTGACTTTTTCTGTTTTACCTACAAATAATTCTATTAGTTGGTTATTTTAGAAGATTCTATGAATAGTTTTATATTGGTATTGAAGGAAGTAATTTAAGTGGAATAGTTTATTAACTTGGTTACTTTGTTGAATCAATACTTTAAAGAGTAAAAGTTCTTAAATGAGTTTATGTAGATATTTTTTCATTTTTTATTTTTCTACTCATGTGATGTAAATGACCAAAAATAGGTTAATTAGGAATATTTGTTTTTTTACTTGGAATTTGCATTTCCACTGTATTTAGATATCTTCGTAGATTATTTGAAGTTGGAGTCAATGTACTAGATTCTTTTGTCATTTGACTATTGAATATTTATTTTGATGCTTAAGATGTAACATGAGTACTATTTGTAGTTATACTTGATTTCAGTTTCATTTCTGGAGTTGTTGGAGCTTCTGATATTTCTTCAAATTAATGTTCAATCTATTTTATTTTGTTTTCTAACACTTCCTTTTTCCATTCTTTAAATTTATATTCATATTATGACATATGTTTATCAATAATTTCTTAAATGTGATACTTTTTAGCTAAACTCTTTGCTTAAACACTAGATTCTTTTACAGTTCTACACTCAATTATTATATCCTGTATTACTCGAAATAAATGTTATGTAGCAGATCTTAATTCACAATGTGCCATATCATATCCTTCTATTTATATTATCTTAATCACTTAAGATTCATTTAAATTAACAGGATAATTTTTTATTAACAAAGCAAGATCTTATAAACTAAAAAATTATTATAAGAAAATATCTTAACTGATTAATTACGATACTTTTTCTCTAGATTATGCACTAAGTTGTGGTAATATTTAATCTATTGATTATTTTTGTTAAGGTTGTACCATTGTTTTTTCACGTAAAGCTTTTTCTTCTATATGATCATAAATAGCATTTAAAAATTAATTTGAATTTCTAATACTTGGATCTTTTGCTATTAATTTTATTTTATATTATCTTTCTAATTATTACATTACTTAAGATAATTAGATAAACATTTTATTGTATGTCCATTTTAAGTAAAACCTAATTATTAATAATAATCATTTACTCATGTCCAAACATATCTGAATTACATGATTTTAAAATCTCTTTTATGTTGTACAATGAATTTAATATTCTAGAGAGAACAGTTGTAAGCATAGTAAAAATTCTAACAAAAAAATATTTATTATTAGATAAATGTCTTATCTGAATATTTGTTAGATATTAAGCCATTTCATGCTATTATTCATCTATTTATGGAGCAACAGACTCAGGTTCATCTAATTCATAAAATTACAATTAATTTAAGAATAATAAATGATTTATTAACTAACCTTTTTATAGTAATAAATCTTCATATCTATTTCTTAATGTACCATCTTAAAATTATAATTTTCTATAAACTTAAATCAATTAATTTATTGAAGAGTTCAAATCATTATCATGAAATTTAAAAAATATCTTCATTCTTGATGATACACCACTAAATCTTGCCCTATCTATATATTCTTATAAAGATGAAGCTAATTGTAATCTTGAAAATGGTTATCTTAATTGCCATCGAACATGTTACAGAATTTCATCTAGTTCAAAATCATTTGGATTTTCTAGTACAAAAATTAATCTTAATTTATCAATATCATCAAATTCTTCTAAAAATTCAGCGCATTCTTCAATTTTATGAAACTTGGTTTTAATTTCATCATCTGTTTTTTTAATAAGATCACTTGTCTATTCATATTTAAGTAATAATGACATCTCTTAATCTTCTTATTCAAGTAATTCTTTTAATTTTTGTTCTGTAACTGCTGAAGATTTTTCTGCTTAATATTTTAATTTTTCAATTTTTTGAGTCTACCATTCTTTTTCTAATTTCATTGCTTTTTTAATTGTTCCAATATAATGAACAAAAAGTTACAATTATTATTTGTTTTCAATCTCTTTTAAATGAATTTTTGGTTCATTTTAAGTGTATAGTTCAATTTACTCTTTCATTAAAGTATTTTATTTTTGAATAATTCTCACTGAATGCTCAATCTAATCATTTCGTTTTTATAAATTCTAATTGCAATCAATTTCCTTATCAATATCATTTTATAACTCAAACTCTGGAATAACAAATGTTTATTCATTATTTATTTTAAAATCCTCTTGTATTTATGTTCTTTTTTTATTATTAATGTAAGTTAATTCAGCTAAGATCTTCTAATATCCTGCTATATCTATATCATCATTATTCTATTAATTCTCTTAACTCATTTCATATAAAAGTTCTTATTTACGTTGTTCTAGTTTTTGATCAACGATCTTCATTACTAATTTTTAGTACTTGAGTTTTTGGTTAAAGCAATCTTAATGCAGCTAATTGCTCTCTTAATACATTATCAATGCTCTCCTTATGTAAAAAGATGCTAGTTTTAGTTTTCGTTACTACTCTTCGGAATGAATTCATTTAATTATTGAAGTTTCGTAAATTCAATAAATAAAATATACAAAGTATCTTAAATTGTATTTAAATAGAAAGTGATTGTCAATATAAAATATTTATTTTACTATAGTTATAATTTTCAAAAAGTGTTTTCAGGGAATTTTATCAATTCTTTGTTATACATCTTTATATTATATCAGTAAAAATATTCAAACAGTTCAATCTTTGTGCAATTTTATATTTAATTTTGAGATGTATATGAAAATTATGTTCATCCATTCAATTTTTCATATTATGGATTTTACTAAACTCTAATTCGTTTCCATTTTGTAAATAGACAACGTAATTCAATATCAATTTTATGTTATTAATTCTTGATCTTTATTGAACCAAAAGATCCAACGTTAAATAGAAAGATATTTTAAATCACATATTTATCCTGGCTTCTTTAAAGATAAGAAGGTTGCAATAAATATTATTAAGAAAGTTTGAAACTATATTTCTAAATAATTATACTTGACTTGACTTGTCCATGTTATTGTTTTTCATTAATTTTCCATATAATTTAATGACATAATTTTATGAGCTTTTCATGTCATTTCTAAGAAATTCCATATAAGTAATCATTCAATCCAATCATTAATTCCTTTTATAAAAAATTTATTATTAAAACTTACAAAGTCTATATAATAATTGTATTCATCTTCAAAATTCGAACTTTTGTAAAATTTCAACTAATTAATGAGTAAATCGTTTATTTCTATATTTTATATCTCTTACATCTTTTATTAGAACTGAGGAATTTAAATATGGCAAGCTATAACAAAAAATACAGAATAGCATAAAATAACTATTTTAAATCCAGAATTGATCTTCTTTTTCATTGAAAATATATTCACTTATTTTTTTATTAAAAAAAATTTACCTTTTTTTTTGTCACTAATTTTATGATTTTTAAAATTTTATTCCCATTTTAATATATTAGAAAATTATTTCTTGCTTTGTAATTTAAATAGCTATTAAATTAAAAATTATGACTTTTTTTAGCATGCTTTTTATTTTTTAAATTTTATTAAAATTTGTACTAAATTTTTTGTACATTTAAAAACATATTATATTATTAATTATATATAAAAAATGTAAGAAAGTGTCATAGTATGTCCTTATTGTAAAAATTAAGCCTTTTTTGATCCAAGATCATCATCAAGTTTTTGTAAATCAAAGCAATGCAAAGGAGTAGTTATTGAATAAGGAAAAATTACATATGAAAATGAGGTTAATTTACATGAAGCTGATGAGCCTGGAAAAAAGTAAACTAGATTTGGAGGATATGAAAATAAAAGAGAAGCCTTTAAAAGTTAAATCTGTGAAATGTTAGGAAAAAATGATTCTAAATAAAGAAAACAATTTTATGAGAAATTTGAAGCTGGAGAACATTTAATCTAGAAATTTTCAAACATTTTTAAAATGAATGAAGCATTTACAAATGATGCTATTTCTAAATATAGAACTTTAATGTTTGATTTTGTAAATGAAGTATAATAGCAATTATATATTATAGATTGCCAATAAAAGTTTTTTAGCTTTAGCTGTATTAGCTTATCAAATAATCATATTAGAAAGAAAAAATCAATAAAATCATGATTAAAGAATAAATAAAATTACACCAGATTTAATGTTGAAATATTGTACTGTTACATCCTAATAATTAGATTAAGTTTCTAAGGCTGTAAATATGAAAGTATTAAATAATTAAATATTTTTATAGAATTCAGTTGACCCATAAAAACAAGATATTTGTCAATAAATTTTACAAAGAATTAAAGAACATAAATTACCATTTAATGAATATGAAATAATGGGAATTTATGATATTCCTTCAAGACTGTTGGATAAAACTGTAATTAAGGGTGAAAAACAATCAACAATAACTTGGTAATTATTGAAAATTAACAATTTAGTGTTGTTGAATATATGGTAGCTTAATTATCTAGTAATCCTGAATTAAATAAATTAACACTTGATTATTTGGCCTAATTGAATGATGTAACTAAAGACACTGCCAAAAAATTATGGAATACAATTATTGATCATTAAGGTTTGTAAAATCTTATATGCAAATGGTAAGGATAAAGACCAATATCAGACCTCAAACATATATAATGAAAAATTATTATTATTACAAGAACAAATATATAAATACTCAAATTCATTTTGTTAATAATTTTATCAAAATAAAATTTATATTCTTAATGAGTCAGCACATAGCTTCAAATCCAATAATTAAATAACTTTGCTAAAATCATCCAACAGAATAATTTACAAACTTTTGCTAAAATCCTGAATGCTTAAAACCTTTGTGTCCAGAATGTATTGAATCTCATACTAAATATCATTAACAAGTTTAAACAAGCGCCGATATTGACAGTTTTAAAAATGTTAAATAACAATGTTTAAGAAAGGTTAGCACTGGAATATAAGAAATACAGAAAATTATTTAAGATGCTGATTAATATGGATTAAATGATAATGATGATTAAACTATTAGAGAAATACAAAAAGGAAAGGAAATTGCTATTTCTTTAGTAAACTCACATTTTTCTGCTTTAGAAGAATAGTATAAATAATATTTAGAATAATAATCGAATTATGTATAAACATTTAATCAATTGCAAGAAAGCATTAAAAATACAATGAATGAACTAGAGCATCTAAATGTTGGTNGTATTAGCTTATCAAATAATCATATTAGAAAGAAAAAATCAATAAAATCATGATTAAAGAATAAATAAAATTACACCAGATTTAATGTTGAAATATTGTACTGTTACATCCTAATAATTAGATTAAGTTTCTAAGGCTGTAAATATGAAAGTATTAAATAATTAAATATTTTTATAGAATTCAGTTGACCCATAAAAACAAGATATTTGTCAATAAATTTTACAAAGAATTAAAGAACATAAATTACCATTTAATGAATATGAAATAATGGGAATTTATGATATTCCTTCAAGACTGTTGGATAAAACTGTAATTAAGGGTGAAAAACAATCAACAATAACTTGGTAATTATTGAAAATTAACAATTTAGTGTTGTTGAATATATGGTAGCTTAATTATCTAGTAATCCTGAATTAAATAAATTAACACTTGATTATTTGGCCTAATTGAATGATGTAACTAAAGACACTGCCAAAAAATTATGGAATACAATTATTGATCATTAAGGTTTGTAAAATCTTATATGCAAATGGTAAGGATAAAGACCAATATCAGACCTCAAACATATATAATGAAAAATTATTATTATTACAAGAACAAATATATAAATACTCAAATTCATTTTGTTAATAATTTTATCAAAATAAAATTTATATTCTTAATGAGTCAGCACATAGCTTCAAATCCAATAATTAAATAACTTTGCTAAAATCATCCAACAGAATAATTTACAAACTTTTGCTAAAATCCTGAATGCTTAAAACCTTTGTGTCCAGAATGTATTGAATCTCATACTAAATATCATTAACAAGTTTAAACAAGCGCCGATATTGACAGTTTTAAAAATGTTAAATAACAATGTTTAAGAAAGGTTAGCACTGGAATATAAGAAATACAGAAAATTATTTAAGATGCTGATTAATATGGATTAAATGATAATGATGATTAAACTATTAGAGAAATACAAAAAGGAAAGGAAATTGCTATTTCTTTAGTAAACTCACATTTTTCTGCTTTAGAAGAATAGTATAAATAATATTTAGAATAATAATCGAATTATGTATAAACATTTAATCAATTGCAAGAAAGCATTAAAAATACAATGAATGAACTAGAGCATCTAAATGTTGGTTTAGAAAGCTCTAATTTAATATCATTTATAAAAAAGATTTGCACTATGGATTTAAAAAAAACTTTATTGAAATACAAAAAAACAATGAAAAATCTATAAAACAAATAAGCTAATTAATAAATAATGGTTTAACTAAATTAAGCAAACTTATAGCATATTCAAACATCTTTAAACAATTATGCTAAACTAGATATTATTCCATTATAAAATACGATATTTCTCAGTCAAAGTCATGTTTCTCAATTTTAAGAAAGTTATCTTTAATAAAATGAGTATTTTAAAGGTAAATATAAATTACTCCACTTTTTTGAAATTGGAAAATCAACATTATGGTTATATGACTTAAGTTTACCAGAACAGATTTGGAGACCAGTATAAATATCAAATTATGTTGATGTATTACCATATTCTAAATCAATAATGACTCCTGAAGGATAAATTTATTTAACAGGAGGTTCTATTTAAAGTAATAAAAAAAGTGGAAAGATTTATTAATTTAATTTCTCAAACTATTAACTATAAGAAGTAGGATAAATGACTTATGGAAGAAGTTCTCATGGATTAACATGGAAAAATAATGAGTTATATATAATTGGAGGTTATCTTGACAATTTAGTAATTACTTAAAATTGTGAAGTTTTTGATTGTATTAACAAAAGAACTAGACGATTACCAAACTTAAATAATGCAATTGCATCACCAAGTGTTTGTATTTTTAATGATACAATAACTGTTGCAGGAGGATTAAGTAAAATTAATAATTATCAATCTAGTTTAGAATTTAAAAATTAATCAATAAATTGAATTTTTAATGATTGATCGATGGGTTCCTTGTACAGTTACATCATAATTACATTTAGCTTCAATGATGTGCTCAATTTAAATTGAATAAAATTAATTAATGATATTTGGAGGATATTATGAAAATAATAAAGGATCTAAAGAATGTGTTATATTAGAAATTAATGAAACAACAGCTAAAGTATTGGAAACTAAATAGCTTCCACAGGCTGAAGGTTTTTGGAATAACAATCCTTTAATATTTTAAGGTAGAATTTGGGCTTTGCAAAATATTGTATAAGACATTCATGGGAATTGCTCCTAGGATTAAAGAAGAATACTAATATTTGATGGGTTAAATTGGAAATAATCATGATATATTTAATTTAAATTCGATCATAAAGATTAATATTTTTAATAATTTAACCCATATCTTTATTTAATAATAATTGAAATCAATACAATTTCAATTAAATATATCTCTTGTAGTAATTTATTTAAGTTTAAAATTTTGCTTATTTATTTTGCTTTATTATATTTTAATTTTATTTAAAAGTATCTAAATTATAGAAACATTCTAAATCCTTTTTTTAGTTATCTAAAAATATTATTATTATAAGTTTTTTCTTTTAAATATCTATATCAATCTAATCTTGAATAAAATAATTTCTAAAATTATTGTAAATGAACAGAGATTAAAAAATTATAAAATATAAATTGATTTAGAAAAAACAAAATGGTGAAATTACTTTTCTTTAACTTTATGGTTAAATATTATGAGATTTCTAATAAAATAAATATGTTAGCCTCATAAGTGTTTTTACTAAATTAAACATTAATCAAAAGTTTATATAAATCATTATTTAACTTAGTGCTTATGTTAACAAATAGAATTTTATTAAATTCTAATATAAACTAATAACTAAGTGAACAATTAGAAATCAGAATAATATAAAAATATTTTTGATATATTTAGGAAATCATTATTAGAATAGATTAAGAATCATTCAATAATTTTTAAGATAATAATATAAAATGAAAGTCTAGTCTTTTCATTTCTGTTTAAAGATTTCAATAATGAAGAATACAGAAAGTTCTTTTGATTTAAAAGAAGGCTTATAAAAAGGATGAATACTTATAAGAATATATTAAAATTGATATATTAATTCTACAATGATAAAATCACAATGAAAAGAAATCTTTAGGTAATGAAGTGTTTCTTATAACCTTGATACTCTTTCTGGTGGATGTTACTGAAGGTTATTTGAATACTTATTTAAGTTATTAAGTTGATAAGCATAATAAGTCTAAGATCTTTTCTTCTTTAAAAATAGCTGATTTGGTTTTCTTTTCTTGATTTTTAATAGGAAATTTAATGAATTATGAAGTAATTGATGAGGGTTATGGATTGTTTAATCGATTTAAATGTTATTATGTAATTTTGGATTTAATATCTTAATTTCCTTCAGTTTTAATGACTTTGTAACTATCGTCATACTTTCCTCTATACTTATTCATAATAATTGATTTATTTATTTATTAATGTATATATAATTACTGTTCAATCAAATCATTCTCTTGACAAGATCATTGATGAGATCTTCTCTATTTCCCCAATCTCCTTAATTAATGAATGATCTTCTCTTTGCAATGAATCCTCCTCTTGGTCCTCTCAATTTGAAAGCCCTATAAAATAAATGAAAAGATTACCACAAAAATCTATTTGCTTCTTTAAAGTGAGGTCCTACAGTAGTAATTTCATGGATGAGATCTTCAACACAATGAATACCACATTTTCCTAATTATTATTCAACAACATTATTATTTGTGATTGGAATTCTTTGACCATTAACTTTGGCATATCCTCTTTTGTATACAAGATTTTTGATAACTGTTCTTGATGGATATCCATAAGTAACATATGGTTCAACTTTTCTGATCATTTCAATTGTAGCCTTATTAACTCTAACAAAGGCTGCATTATGAAGTTATCTTAATTTCAAAAGTCTTAAGGTTTATCTAACCTGAGGATTCAAAGTGTTGATACTTTTATAACTTAAATAAATCATACCCTCTGATTCTGACCACCAAAATCAATTTAGCTTCAGCTGGAACATAGAATCCACCTTCACTCTTAGCTTTGCGTATGTTATCAACTAAGCCTTTTTCTGCAGCTTTATATTCTGCTTCATAAGCTTAACCATTCTTTTCCCATTAAGATCTTCTAGTTTTATTTGCAGCCAATCTCTCTGTTCTTCTTTTAGCAACAGCTTCTCTCAATTTAGTATCTCTTACGGTCTTTTTAGCCACGTTTTCTGGAACCTTTTATCTAAATTATCAATACAACAACTTACTCAACTTGCATTTGTTGCTTCTTTTAAGACATTTTAAACAAAATAAAATCTTAAATTTTAAAATCAAATCAACTAAAACAAATTATTCTAATCTATACTTTGTTTATACTTCACTTCTCATTTTCTACTTATTATTTTTACTAGTTATCTATTCTCAAAATAATCTACATATTAGAAATCATTCAAAAAAATTATTCATCATTTCATAGACTTTTTAGTAATAAATGCAACAAATTTATGAAAAGTAAATTATATAATTTTCATATACTTTGATTTTGCATCAAGAATAATCTTTTTCACTTTAAAGATTTTCTCTTTGTACATGGACTAGGATTTGGAGTTGGTTTTTTTGAAGGTATTGGACTTAAACGATAATTGGAGTGTTTAGTAGATGAAACAGCTCTAGTTGGCTTTAATAATTAACTATGTGATATAGTATCTCTAGCTGAAGGCAAAAATAATTAAGCCTATTTACTTTAAGGTTCCTTTATTCGAATTCTGTATTTTTCTGTAACAATCTTTTCTTATTTAAACCATTAATGATTCATTGCTTCTTTTACTGTAGGTCTTAACTCCTTTGCTTCAAATAAAGATTTTAAAAATAGTTATCCTTATTCACTTATTTTTATATTGTCAACATTAACTTAACCTAAATAATTCTTTGTTATTGTTTCATTATAATCTCCTCCAAATGGTTCTTCTCCAGTTATTATTATGTACATAATTACTCCAACACTAAAAACATCTACTTTAAAATCATAAAATTCATCTCTTAAGATTTCGGGAGCTACAAAACCAGGAGTTCCACATCTTTAAAATAAATACTTTCCATCTTTATTGTAATAATCTGCCAATCCAAAATCAACTACACAAAATTAAGAGAGGTTTGATTTTCTTAAAATTATATTTTTTGGCTTAAGATCTCTATGAATTATTCCAATTTTATGAAATGATAAAATAGCTTTAAATAGTCTATATATAAAACTAGCTAATTATTTTTCATTTAAAAAAGTAGTTGGTTATTTTAAATAATCCTTTAAATCTCCTCCTTCTAATAATTCCATTACAACATATATACTGTCTTCATTCTCAAATACTTCATAAAGATGAATGATATTTTCATGCTAGACTTGACGCAAAATTGATATTTCTTTCAAAAGAGCTATTTTATCTTATCGATTTGTTAATTTATGTTTGCAATATTATTTAACAGCAAATTTTTCATCACCCAACTAATATCTACAACTAAAAACCTAAATAGAATTACAAATACTTCAGCTTAATTTCCTTTGCCTATTTTTTCTAGTATTTTGTACGTATTTGTAAAACCTTACTATATGCACCATCTTTTCATATAATTGAACCAAATTTCTATTTCTCCATATAATATTAGAGTATCTCCTTTGCTTATTGCTATACCTTCTCCAAGCATTTTATCTTTATTTATCTCTATGAAGCAATTTTCATAATTTATCCATTTGATAGGCCCCTTTAATATATTTAACAATACTTTTTTTGTGTAACAACCTAAAATATTCTATATCAAAATGAATTTTTTCATTTTATAAGTTTTAGAACTTGATTTAATAAATTCTCCTTCTAAGGCTCCATTTTTAGAGAGTATTGGCATAGGCAGATAACTCCAAGTAAATTTTTTTTAATTGTTTGGAAAAATTGATTCTTTAAACATATATTATATTTTAATTTACTGAATATTTTTATTACTAATAAAAATATGTTGATTCAATATAATTATTAAGTTATTATTTAAATAATCTTGAAAAGTTTATATAAATATTAGTCATTTATAATTATAAAAGCATTGCGATACATCAGTATGACTTGTAATTACAGTATTTAAGTAAAGATATGACTTAAAAATTAAGTTAATTTGGAAAAATAAAACTTAAATTCAATAATATAATATAAATAACATTTTAGATTACAAGAGAAAAAAATCATTATTTTTATTATGAAATATTGAAATGAATTAAATTGGAATAGAAATGTTATAAAATGTCTTGATGGACAAGCTTCTACTGTTAAACTAATTACCATGGAAGAGCGTATGATAAATTGAAAATTTATGAATTAAGATTAATTAGGCCATTATTATTCTGATAATGATAAATTTAAATTGTTAAATATTATTATTTGTATTAAATATATTTTAAGTAAAATAATAAGAGTTTTATTATAAAATTCATAATTTATTTTAAATTTGATTATTTTTGTAAATCGTATTAAAGTTAGAATATAAAAATAGATTGATAAAATTTTCTGTAAAAATGAAGTTAATGAATAATAATAAAAATATATTACTAAATATGTTTTAATTATGAAATAGATAATGATAATTATATAAAATCATAAATTTTAAATAATTTTTATTGATGTTAATTAATGCATAATTAAAAAATTATATATTTGGAAACCTGATAGATAGATGATAACATAAAATTCAATCAGAATAGAAATAAGAATGTATTAAAATGAGGGTGGCTTAATAAGATTTTGAGATTCTAGCAGTGAAACAGAGTAAGAGTGTAAAATTATTATAAGATTATATAGATATTGAAATAAGTGCATGAATTTTAAGATTTGATTAAATTAAAATAGTTTAAATGAAATTTAAATGTAGATATAAATGATTAAAGTTTTATAGGAAATAGAATAATAATATATATTTAGTTTTATTGAAATAATAAAGTATTAATGGATCTATCGTATAGCGGTTAGTACCTGAGGCTCTAACCCTCAAGACCTTGGTTCGAATCCAAGTAGGTCCTATTTTTTTAATTATATTTTTGAATAATAAATATAAGAAATAATAAATGTAAGAAGCATATGTATTACATGATCAATACAGGAATCAATCAATGTAGAATTATATTAGTGGGACAACTCGTCCTTTATATTTCAAAAGGCCTTTAGTGCCGACAATGAGTGATACTCCAATAAAATTAAGTCAACCTCCAGTATAATATGTGAAAGAATAACCTCCTCCAGCAAAAGTGACAATAGAGAGAGTAATACAAATATTCATTTTAATAGGTAAAAGATGTAGAAGTTTAAACTGATTATAGAGAAGCAGAAGCTTAAACAGATCCATATACTCCAGCTCATGATTAAAATGAAGATTAAACTATAGAAATATTAGCATTATAGCATTTGAAATGGGATAAAGGCTTGCCTGCTTCTATTGAAGAATTAGAGTCAATTGAATGGAATAGAGAGAAAGTTTGGTTTGAAAATGCCTTACCTCCTATATCTGATGAAGCATCATTTAAATTGAGAAGAGCATTAATGAAGTCATAAGAAGAAAGAGAATGGAAGAAGAAAGAAACAGATATCAAAATGTAATTAGAATTATTATTTATTTAAGTAATCAAAACGAGAGGTTATATTTATTGTAAGAAGCATTAAAAGAGAGAGAAAAAGATATAGAAGAGAAGAATGCTCAACGAATTGAAAGCATTAAAATAAAGAAGACAGAATTAAAGAATAGAATGGTAGCGAAGATATAAAAGAGAAAGATAAAAATACTTAGAAAAATGTAAAAAAGTAGAAAAGAAATAGATAATGAAGATAAAGGTAGAGAAATCATCGAAGATTATGCTAATTTTGCATCTAAGGTTTATGCTGGAATTACAAGGGAAGGATTAAGTTTAGATAAAATAGCTAGCAAATATGAAGTATAACCAGTTGCATTAAATACTTATAAAGGTTTAACAGAATTATCTACTACAATTAAACCATCTATTTTAGAAACTACTGTTAATGTTGCTTAATTTATTAAAACTATTGAAAAAGATTATACAAGATTAGAAATATAACATAAGTTGGAAGTTAATAAAGCAAGAAATTAAATATTTGGATCTAATAAATAAGATTAATCAAATGAAACTTAAGCTGATCATATTGGAAATAAGAATATTATAATTAGACCCGCTACTCCAACATATAATTAAGAATTTGAAAATGGTGGTGATGTTAAAAAATAAAACATCAAATTTGAAAATTATGAATAATTTAAAGAAGAAGCTGTCAAAAGATAATCAGAAGATAAAAAGAATTCAGCTCTTGTTTTATTATAAAGATTATTTAGAGGTAGAGCTATGTAGAACATTATGTATGAAGGAAAAGAAAAAGTATATTAATTCAATTTATATCAATCTAGAGAACAGCTTTAATTGAAGAATTGTTAACTGTAGCTAAAATACCAGATTTACCAGAGGCTGAATAAGAAGAAATACTTATGTAATAACATGAAGAAAAAGTTAAGAATGCTGCATTAGAAGCTATTCAGGGAGAAGTTATTGCAGAAACTTTAGATATGTTAAGCAAAGAATTACTTAGAATTAAATAAGAAAAAAGAATAACTTAAATGGTTAAATCAGCTGAAGAAGATAGAAGATTAAGAGAAATTTAAGAAGCTGGTACAAGATAGGCAGAATAAATATTAAGAGATAGAGAAGATGTTCAATATAATTAAATTATGAGAGTTCATTAAGGAACTGTTGATACTTATTTACATTGGATATTTAAAAATACTATTGAATAAGGTATCTTTTTATTAGATCATTTTAGCTGCAACAAGATAAGCAACAATCATGACTAATTTAAGAAAATAAAAAATGAATACTCCTGTTGAATATTTTGAAAGAAAATATAATAGTGATGAAACTATTATTAAAGATTTAGTTCAATAATTCTTAATTCCTAATGTTCAAAGATCTAAACTATAAAAATAAAGTAATTATAATTGTTATAATCTTAGTTCAAATTGAAGAAAGAAGATTTAATGAAGCTGCAAAAAAATCAATTCAGGCAACTTTATCATAAGCAGCCTAATAGATTAATCAAAATTGATGATAAAATTATTAATTATATATTTATTAAACTTATACATCAAATTATTCATAAACATTAAAGAGCTATTCCAACTAATTGACATCAGTTAAAAATCTAAAAGTTACAGGTTAACATTTATTTTTATAATTATTTTTATAATTAATTATTTTGCAATTCTCAATTCTTATTTAAGACATTTAAATATTCCTCAATTTATTATGAATCACTATTTGCAAATTCTTTCAAAAAGTCTTTTTTTTTTATCTAATATAAAATTTTAATTTAGGAACATTTTCTTACATTTTTAATTTTTTTCTAGCCAAATTTTAACATTAATTTGTTTATCTTTTATATATACATGATGTTTCAGGATTTATTTCTTAATATTTTAAATTTAATTATTTTTCTTAACCATTATATTTACCGCAACCAATTTCTTTCGTCCATTAACAATCTAATGCATGTTTTGAAAATAAATACAATTCACATGAACTATTTTAATTTCAAAACTTTTAAAATAGTAGAATAATTAATAAATATTCTTATTTACTGCTAACGATTCCTTCACTGACTCTAAAATATATTATTGAAATAATTTTTTTTATAATTATAACTGTTTTATTTTTAAAGTTAAATTATTATGGGTTATTCATCATAATCCATAAATAAATACCAGTTAGCATATTTAATTCTTTCCTAATCTCTGATTTCCTTTATTAAAATTAATAAACTTTGGTAAATTATTTGAATGAAATAAATCATTGACTAAAAATTATAAAAATTGAATATAAATAATTACTTAAAATAACTTAATATAAGACAATTTTAATTTAATTAATTAATAGTTTCAATCCCTAATAATTATGAAAGTGATTGAAAAGTAATGAAGAAATATAATATTTAATAAACAGAACAATTTTGTTATAATTTAAGCAATTCAAATTTCTTTAATAAACAAAATGAAACAAAATATCAAAAAAATATCATATTTATAAGGTTTATAGTAATTCAGCTATTTGAATGATTACTAATTTCATTATTTTTATTAAAATTTAAGGTTCTTTTTTATCTACTACCTCTTCTGAACATCAGATGAGATTTTGGAGGTTCAAAGTAATCTTTATTGAGATTTGGTTTTTCTTAAGGACTTTTGGATAAAAAGTTAAATCCTTTCTTAACAGGCACTACTTTAATTGGTTTTGGAGATCTTTAAGATTATTTAGAATTGATTCGAAATCTACTTGAATTTTAGTTTAAAATTCCAATTAAATGAATTCCCAAATTTTTAAATGTTTTTTAATTTTCTTAGTCGAAAATAGGATGAGTCAATAATTATTTACAAGTCTTTAATTTAGAACCTTGATTGAATATTGTATTCATAAAGTCAAAACATAGATCAGATAAGGGAGGATCAATAAACTATAAATTTTGAATTCCTCTAAATTCATGCATCATAGCATCATTAATAACTTAATTTGTTTCATATGAACTCTATGTCAATAAATTATACATCACTATTCCCAAAGATAATACATCAAATTTAATATTAAACTAAATTTATTTCTCTGGATTTGCTAATATTGTTGATTAATCCTCCTGATCTTCTTAAAGTATTTATTCTGCTTAATTAAAATTAATTAAACAAGGTTCTGATAAATCATTCTTGTTTTTAAATATTATACTTTAAATACTAATTTATCTATGATAAATATTTTAATCATGCAAATGTTACACAGCCTAAAACAAAGGCTTCATTATTGTTAAAATTTCTTATTCAGTCAGAGTATGTTATTTTTAAACAATTGAGGAAAGTTTTTCACCTCTTAATAATTCCAAAATTATATAAATATGATTATTACTTTCATAAATTTCATAGAACTTCAGTAAATTTGAATTATCTAAACATCTCATTATTTTCAATTCTTTTAAAAACTTTTTAGCTTCAAATTAATTTATTAAAAGTCTCTTTTTATCAAATACTTTAACTGCATACTCTTATCTATTTTATTTATTTCTAGCTCTGTATACCTAATATTTATAATAAGATATACAATTGTTGAATATCCTTCTCCAAGTTTATTTAAAAGTTGATACTTTGATATAAAATCAAATTATATTGTATACTTCTTCATCATTTCAACCAACTAATCAGATAAACCAAATATATCTAAACTAACTCCATTCTTCGAGAATTTTATTCCAAAAATTCCTGTTTTTGGATGATAAATTTTTTACATGCAAACATTCTTTAAATTGATAAATTTCTATATAGTAATTAAATTTCATACATCATCACCAAATCTAATGAAATTTTATCCTATTGCTAAATTTTTGATTACTAATCTGTTCTAATAACTGATCTAAAACTCCCCTTTATACTAGGGAACAAAAGGATCTATTGAATGGAACGAATATAAGGAAGTATGATTATTAAAAAAGGAATCTGCTGAACCAATTTACAAAAGTTATTGTTTTATCATATAATTTTTATTTTTTAACTAAAAAAATCATCAATTCATAAATTTTTATTATATACTCCTTTCTAAAAAATCCAATTTTATTTCATCATTTTATTTAAAATATTTATTTCATAAATGAATATTATTTATCTTTTTATTAGATATATCATAATGTTATTCTTTACAATGAAAATCTTAAGAATAATTACCGACTTGTACTTAAAATCCTTTTTAAATTTTGTGGAATAATAAGAAAAGTTCAATTAAATTGAAATACTTTATAAAATAAATGTATAATTTAGATATTTTTAAGAAATGAGAGAAATAATGATTTTATATTAAATCATAAAGCTTTTTATTTTATTTTAGGCATAAGATTCATTCTTGGAAGTTAATAAAGATTACTTGATCTTCTTTATGAGTTTTATGAAGGGGGTTTTATAACTGAATCAATTTTATTAAATTTTGATATTTTTAAGGGAGATACCATATTTTTTGCTCTATTGGACAAACTTCTTGAGTCGCTTTTCCTTTCTTAAATATTTGGTAAAGTATTGACTCTGGATCGAATCTCCATTGATTCATCATCATCACTATTATTACTTTATTCACTTAATTTTCTTTTATTATTTAAATTCTGATATTTCAAAATGAAATTAGATGGCTCTATTTATTTTTTAAATATATCATTTTTTAAGACTTCAAGAGGAGTGTTTGTATCACTGAGCTATAATTCAAAATCAATCAAAAGTAATTATTATAGAAGTACTTCTAATTCTTTACTAGTTTATTAGAAATTTAAAATGCTTTTGATATCATCCATTTGACTAGGTAAATTAAATTAATTAAATTGATATCCAGTAAGTAACCTAATCAAAATAATACCCAATTATTGTAAATCAGAAGTATGAGCTTTGTCATTTTTTAGTGAAGGTCTTTGACTTAGATTTTTTTTATTTGAGTTTCTTACTAAGTTTATTTACATTACTTTAGAATAATGTAATAAACACAATGAATCTAAATCTTATTCATTTTTAAATCCTATTGCTTTTAGATTAACATCACCATGTATAAATCCTCTCTTATGCATTTCTTATAAACCATTTAATGTCTATTTTATAATTAATATAATTTGTTATTAATTAAATGTTGTTGATGAAATTTTACTTTCTAAAGTTCCTCCTTCAACTAATTCTTCAATTACATAAAGATGATTTCCACTTTCAAATATTTCTAATATGCGAATTAAGTTTTTATGCTCAAATTGCCTTTTCATATTAATTTGTTTTTTTATAAGCTCAAGTAAGTAGGGTGAATTATGTAGCTTTAATTTATCATATATTTTAGCAGCATTTTCTTATCCAGTTAGTTTATTTCGAATTTTGAATACCTTTTTAAACAATATAAAGTTATATATACTTGAAATTAGCTTCCTTCTCCAATTTTCTTTATTATTTTATATTTTTGTTACAAATTTGTTTAGATTGTATACTTTTTTAAGACATCAATCCAATTCTGAATGTCACCATATACATCCAGTTTTTCACCATTTTTCATTAATCTAAATCCAGATTAAGATGTTCTTGGATGATAAACCATCTCCATAAAGAGATTTCTAACATCTAGGAATTTCTTTTTAATCATAGTAATTATTCATACTTCTTCTCCATACTTTAGATAATGACTTCCAAAAAATATCGTCTTTGATATTAATCTATTCCTATTAACAACCAAAAGTTCATCTGATAACTAGAATTGAATTAATATTTAAGGTCTTTGAATCCAAAATTCTGGATTGTCATCTAATATAGATTATGATAAATTGATGGCTTTATTATTTTGAGATTTAATCATTTAAATAATATAAGAGGCATTACATGAATAATTATTAATAGCAGAGTCTCTAGAATTTACAAATGTTCTTTATATAAAGAAATCATGTTTCTTTCAAATACTACAACATAATACATCATTATTTATTAATACAAACAATTTAATTACAAATTTTATTGTTCAATTTAAAGTCACAAAATTACTTAATGCTGTCTACTAATAAACTCTCAATTTCTAATTTTAATATTCAAATTGAATTAGATTAAAAAATTTAAATAATCAATATTTATGTCTATTTTAGATAAATACTAAACACTTAATTGAATTTTATCAAACACTTATTTACATAATATATATTTTCAATATATTTTAAGTTAAATAAAATTATTGATCCATCAAATTGTAAAAAAATATATTTTTAATAAAATGTTTTTTAAGATATTAATTAGTTTGTAATAGTTGAATTCTATTTATAACACCTGTATTTGAGATCAAATCACTATTTCAACATCCATTATAGAAAATTGCTGAAGGATATTTGAAAAATCTTAGTGTCTCACATAAATGTAAACAGTTTTTAGAAATTTAAGTTATATGAAAATAAGTTTATCTATTATCTAATTTAGAACTAATTAAGAAATATCTAGACCTTTACAAAATGATAAAATAATCAAATGATATTTTAAATTGAAATTATTGATATAATATAAATTAATATGAAGAAAGAATATTTTTTGGTTCTTTTCTAAAGAAAAAGACTGATTAGAAAGATGAAACGAGAAAAAATTTGGGTTTTAGTATATATAATAATATATTAAATGAAGAAATAGAGGAAATATATTTTAAATCTTTTATTAAAAATATATTTTAAAAAAAACAAAATATTATGGCTGACTTGAAAGAGAAGAAAGTAGAAGACGAATAATAAGTAAAAAAAATTAGAATGATTGTTACATCCAGAAGTGCTTAAGATTTAGAAAATTTCACTACTTAAGTTATTGAAAAAGCTAGAGGAATCTAAGTAATGATTAAATATGAAAATAAAGAGAGATTAAGGCTAACAAGTTGTTTTCAAAGGACCAGTCAGAATGCCAACAAAGCATCTTAAAATGACTGTCAGAAAGAGTCCTTGTGGTGAAGGTTCAAAGACTTGGGATAGATTTGAAATGAGAGTATTAAAATTATTAAGGATTAGATTCACAAAAGAGTTATTGATTTCTAATGCAATTTACCAACTTTTAAAGATATTACAAACTTCAAGATTGGTCCAGGAATTAATGTTGAATTAAACGTAGAATAATGATTAGTGATAATATAAAAATTATACATTAAACATAAATACATTAACACATTTTACTATAATGTTTTAGAGAATTTTAAATCAAATAGATTTTGATTACATATATCAAAAATGTATTTTTGTAAGAATAATCTTAAATTCATTATAATTCAGTAGAATGAACTAAGATTTATAACTGCATCTAAAGATAATCTGATAAAAAGTTGCATTGTTATCACTTTAAATAACAATTCTAAACAAAATAAGGTTAGCAATTAATTCTGGAGATAACTTTTATTAGTAAAACATACTTTTATATCATAATAAGTTATTTCAACAATTATTAGTTAACGATTTGTAAAAATAGTTTATTATTAGTAGCTAGTAACAGAACTTTATAATAAATTAGAATTTATAGAAATTAACTTAATTTTCAGGAAATATCTTGTTGTATTATTTAAAGGACTATTAATTTAATGTATGAAATTTATATATATATATCACTCTTTTAATTTTAATGTCTACAAATCTAATCTTCTTAAATAAATTATCATTAAAAAGGCAAATAAAAATGTTCCAAAAATCATTAAAGGTTCTCTTAATATAGACATACCAGAAAATTTATAAGTAATCTAAAATGAAATAAATTATTACAATAATTCTCTTATTATCAAATTGACTAGTAGTAGCTTTGTCCAAAATGATTGTAGGTCTACCAACTGTATCAAAATAGGAGAATAATAATGTATCATTTCTTTATACATCCAAAGGTAAATCAATTTATATATCATAAGCTCCTTCAGGTAAGGAAATTTAAAAGTTATATTTATCAGATACCATTTCTTTAACAGAGAATGAAAAATTCAAGGTCAATCTAAAATTATATCCATCTTATTCTAAATATCTAATTAATTTAAATAATAAATACTTTTTAGTTGGTAAATTATATCCTAAAGTAAAATTGCTTCTCCATCCTCCAAATATAGCAAATCTAGGTCTCAATTGAATTAAGGCTTAACTTTCTCCATTAAGTTTCTAAAAATACTAATTTATAATATGTTACCCCTTTAGCAGCATTTGATGTAGATATATTTCCTATTTCATCTTTGTAATAAACACCCCATGAATCATATGGAAGAGATGCAGATAATTATTTTAAAGAATGTTTTCCTACATTTGGATTATATTTATTAAAATTAACTCTTCCAAATTCTCCTTTCAACTTTGCTCCTTAATTTTCAATTGAATAATTTTCCTCAATTAAAATATTGCCCCAATGAGATACTTCAACGATTTTTGAAGCTTATGTAAAAATAGTCATTGGTGTATTATTCTCTAAATGAATTGAATGAATTTATGTTGAAAAAGGTTTAATATCTGAAAATGGTCCATACTCTAATAATTGATTTCTTTAAGTAGCTGATTTCAATGAATAAGAGCTATTTATTATTTTAGATTTTTACATTATTTTCGGAGTCTCATAATAAGTTATTTGATTCTTTACTAAATAAGGAGTGAAGAAATATACAGAATCCATAAATTGGACAAATTATTCATCCTAATTATTTTTTATCATAAATACCTCTACTCCAATTTCTTTTGGTAATGGTTTAAATCTTTTATAATAGTGTTCATTTAATTCTACTTCAATATTTTAAGATGGTTCAATTGGTCTTTATAATGTAAATTCATAGACTGTAGCATTCTATTTATATTTCACATCAACATCTTCTATTATTTTATTTGTATTGCTTTCTTCTATATCTACATGATATAATCTATCTAATAATGCATTATGGATTGTGTAATAAATCTTTTCAATTGCAATTACACCATCATTTTAAAATGTAATCTTAATGTCATTTTGATATTTACTTTTGATTGAATTTTTACATATCTATCAGATAAAGATACTGTTCTCTCAATATTGGAAATGAAAAAGTTTTTTGGAATTCTTAATGACGATCCTAATGCAATTAATATCAAAAGCAGCATAATTAATATTATTTATTTTAGAATTTTTATTAAAATACATTTTCTATAATTATTATTTTCTTCATTTGTATACTTGTTTAAATGCCATAACAACTTTTCTTTTTCTTTTACATTATCTTACTATTTAAATCCTTCTCATTTGAATCTAACTATCCTTTTCAGTTTTTAATATATAGCTTATAATTTAATTAAAATTTGAGTAAATAATAATTTTTTATTTAAATTTATTTAGTAAGATTGTTTGTAAGATATTTGTGTAATATAAAGAGGAAATAATAAGATACATTTGATTATTTAATAAAAAATATTTACAATGTAAATAATTATATATATTTATTATAATTTGTCATGGTAAATTGAATTTATTTAATTAATGACGAATCATAAGATTTATCTCTCATTAAAATTATATTAACCTTATAATGAATGGTTGCTGTTTGCTTCTCTTTATCTCTTTTAAACAACAGAAAATGCAACTTTTAGTGGACTTTTATAATGATTTTTTTATAAAAATATATATCAAATATTTTTTAGGTTTAAAAAGTTATTCAAAAAAAATATGATCGACATTTATGTATAAAAATTATTGAGAGTTATTAACATATCAATTCTTTTCTTCTTGTTTCATTACTATTTCTTCATTTTTGTTATCTTTTTGTAATTTTTGTCTAGGATAATTAATCTTAATACTTTTTATATTGAACATCTTTGATGTCTTTCATTGATAAAAAAATTCTTTTTTTAATTTGTTTTTGAGAAGAATTTTAGTTGTTAATCTTCATTTCCTTTTATTTTTTTATGTTTTTGGATATTTTCTAAGATTTTGATAACTCCAATGAACTTTATTCATCATAAATATCATCATTTTTTAAGGTATTATGCTCAATAGTATGAATTTCTTATGGAGATCTGGGATAAATTTAGGGACTTTATTGTACTTAAAGAGAACAAGCATTTCTAATCATTTATATTTTAGTAAAACTTACCTTAGAGCTAACATTGAGTTAAATTAAACAAGTTATTAAAGCAAAAGTTATTGCTAAAGTAGAAATTGTTAATCATAGAGCAAGAATGAATTCATAATTTACAAAAAGAATATTTAAATCACAAGATTTGAACTATGAACTATATACAAATATTATGCCAAAAATTCGTATTATTAAAATACTAATACTGTTACAATCAAGTGTGCACAAATTTATTATCAATCATTCATATATTGATTTCATTTTACAATATAAGACTAATATTGTTATCAAATTCTTTGTAAAACAGAAATATCTTTTCAAGTTGACAACTGTTAAATAAATATATATTTACATTTTAAAATTTATATAAAATATTTAATATATAAGACAATTTTCTTAATTTCAAAATTTTATTAAATCATTTTTCTTTAAGTCATATAGAATTAAAAGTTTTCCAATATCTATATATTTCTGTATATTTTTTCAATATCATATTATAGAATTCTGAAATGATATTAAAAACAATATAATCTCTATAATCATAATGACTACCGAGTTAATCTCATCAATATAATTATCAAGTAAATCATATATACAAAAGAATTTTATTAAAAAAAATAATTAATTAATATGAATTAATTTAATCAGAATATATTATTTGCTTTTTGGCAATCTACTCCAATAGTAAATAAGCTTTTTATCATAATTGCTGCAATATTTTGGGTTATGGAACTTTTCCTAGGAGATCAATTAAAATTTTAGCCAATATCGTTGTAATATGTTTTTATTTGGTAATTAGTAACATCAGCATTAGTATAAGGTATTTTAAATTAAATATTTAGGTTCATTTTTTTCAATTATATTTAATTTATGTTGTTTGCCTGATCTCAATAATGCTGAAAGAAGATTAGGAAGTATTTTGTATTTGTTAGAATTTATGATAAAAAACAGCATAGGAATGGTATTTTATAATTAAAATATAGGCATTTATCTTTTTAATAGTCAGGTTATATTGTTTATTTTAATATGATGATGTGATGATGTATTCAAATCATTTTGGCTTTTGGAATGTTGCAATATATTTTATAGCATCTAAGTGATTAATTATGATATTTTAGAGCTCTTAAAAAACCTAATGAAGAAACTGAAGTGTTATTCTTTCCTTTAGTAATGAAAGCTAGATACTACCTTATATGTCTACTAATATTGTTATAATTATTTACCTAAACTCGAATAAGTGTGTTATTTTTTGCGCTAGTTGCTTTACTTGAGTTTATAATATACAAGGGTCCTTTGTTTAGATTACCTAAGAGATTTATTGAATCAATTGAGAAAAAAGCATTTCTTTAAAAATACATTTCAAGATAAGATTTCATTCCTATAGATCAAGCGTATGATTTAGTATTTTCTGGGACTTAAAAAATTGAATTTTAAATAGAAAATTATAATAAAGACATGGAACTATCTCCTGCTGGGTAATTTAAATGTTTAAATATTTAAGATAAATGAGTAGCTAATAAGAAAAGGTCCCAACTGAAGATGATAGTTTGCAAATAAAATGAATTAATTCTAAAAATTATTTATCTACCTATATTATTTTGTATGTTTTTTTTAATAAGATAATTTAATTTTTTGCTTTTAAAAATAACTTTTATAATTACTTTAAGTTAAAATAAACTCAATAATTATTCGATCTTACAATGACATTATTATATAGCAAATAATTAAAAAAGTATTTTTGAATAAAAATTGTAAATCAAATAGAATAATGTATTAAAGATAATTAGTAGTTATATTATAATCAATCTAAGAAGTCATATTTTTCAAGAGTTTTAATATTTTTATTGATTGTTATCAAATTATTAATTATTTATTTTATGAATAATTTTACAAAAGAAGAAATAATTATTTTTGGAATTGGATTGATTGAGATAATCATGCTAATAATTCTTATCTATTATTTGAAAAAACTATATAGAAATAGATAATACTATCCTATATATTAATTATCTCCTATTATAACAATGTTATAGGGGATATCATTTTATATGTTTCAACTATCAATAGTTATTAATTATTACTACAATTTTAAAAATCCGATCACATGGGAGGTTTGCCAAGATTATAAGATTTACAATGAATAAGAATAAAATAAATATAATGACTATTAGAAGGTTCCTTATTATTTATTTTCTATTCTTTATCTTTATTCCAGGGGATGTTGTTTTACATTAACTTTAATGAAGTCATTAAGAATATTGAAAGCATTTTCAAATAAAAGGTTAAAAGAAAATGGATTTATAACAAAAATCTGTATGCATGAATCTTCTCTAATTATTATAGCTTTATTTCATGCTCTTTTTTTTCCAGGATTCACAATATTTTCTAATATTTACATAGAAAAATTTGGGTTTTTTTGTTGCTTATAGGTCTATGAGAATAACACTGGATTAGTATTTTTTAATAGTTTATCAGAAGAAATCTTAACTCTAAAATTGATGTAAATGATAAAATATAACAATTCTAATGATAATTTAATAAATTTAACAGTAAAATTATAATTCTATTATATTTTTTGGTTTGCTGTAAATTCAATTATTTACAAATTATTTGTATCCTTAGGTACTACAATTGTTGGAATATCTTGTTGGATAAGATGCTTTTACATGTTTTACAATTTTACATGCATTCCATTAAAAGAAAAAGAAGAAAATCCTAATATTTATATAACATTTAGCTAAGTTAATAATTTTAAACTTATTATATCTAAAGTTTTTAACAAATTTTATAAAAATAATTATAGCTTAATTGCTTTTTAAAATTACCTAGCTTAATCTAGTAGACAGAATGTAGCATTTACAGAAGTAGAATTAATTTCTGAAAGGAAAGATTTTTCAGAGATTGTATTATTTGAAAAGTATTTAAAAGTAGTTGAACTTTCTGAATCTTATTAAGACTATTGTTTTTTAAATGATGAAATTACTAAAATTTTAGAATTATAACCAACATCAATAAATCCTTATGATTCTATATATTCTCTTTCGGATGATTTATATAATCATTTTGAATAATTATATATAAAATATTTTGCAAATACTTATGCATTTAAATAAATTAAGTAATTAACACAACATAATTAAATAATATAATAGAATTTTAAGATATTAAGAATGCCTCTAAATGAATGGAACCATCTTGATTTATTGATATAAGAATGATTGAATTAAATATAGATTAGTTTGAATATATATTTTAGTAATAACAATTTCATTATTATAGCATAATATATAAAATGAAAAGTCTTTCTAAAATGGAAGAATAACAAAAGAATTAATCTCCAACAAGATCATTTACAAAGCCTAGGAAATATGATAAACTGATTCATAGAACCACTTAGATTCCACGAATATCTATAATACGGTTAGTAGAATGTATGGATTAAGATAATGATGGTTGGATAAAGAAAGACGATATATTGAAATTTAGTTAGAAGCATTATTTATTTTTTGAAGATGAAGTACGTAAACATTAGATATAAATTTATAGTTAGCATAAGCAATGATTGATGAAGCATTAAGTAAAAGAATTGTTGCATTTAATGAATAATTAAAAGAGCCAATAAATGTAGATGAAATATTAGGAGCAGGTAATAGAAAATAAATAAATATTAGTATAAATACATTATACATTAAATGAGAATCATGTTTGGATAGAAAAACCAAGACCATTTAGAGATAAATGGATATAATTATTATTGGCAGCAGGAGAACAATTACCAACTGGACATGATTTACCTCCAGTTAAAATTACAAAAGTGTTAGATATGCATGAAATGAAACCATTTACATTCAAACCAAAACTTAATTGTTCTTAATCATAAATTATACATACATCATAATTAAAAGAAATTCATCAATTTAATAAGGATAAACCTGAAGCTCGAATTATTCTATAAGAGACTGATTTAATTAAACCTATAAATAATGGAATTATTAAAGAAGAAGAAAAAGATAATCCTTTTGAAAAAGTTGTAAATTCTAAATTGTAAAACAAATCAAATTTATTAGATAAGTCACAATATAGATTCAAAGCAATTCCCAACTATTAAATTTGAAACTTAAGCATATTATAATGAAGCAGAGAGATTGAGCAAAGAATAAAAATTGTGTAGAACAGGTAGAAACCCTATTTTAAAATTTATGCCAGAGAATTTAAATTATAAAGTTGACAATAATTATTCACAACGATAAAGTAGTGAATTTGAGTTAACCTAAACTACTGCTGCTAAATATTTATCTTAACCTGTATTATTAAGAAAACCTTATTATGGATTGTCAGATACATAATTAATATCTGATGAATACAAATATTTTGAACCAAAAAAATAGATTGATAAAAATTAAGAATCTGATAAATAAATTTTTTATGCAACCTTTATACCTGAAGATGTGATGACTTTAAAAAAAAAATTAGCTAATTTAAAATAAAGAGAAAAAGAAAAATTGTAAGATTTTTACAATCCTCCATCAGCCCATAAATTTAGAGATGAAATTTTAGATAAAAATAAACCTTTTTTTAAAGTAATTTTATCAGTAAATTAAGACTAGAATTAAACCTGATTCCTTAATTAATCCTCATCTCATGTCAGAACATGATTAAAGGCCTTAATTTGCTATTGAAGAAGATCTAAAAAAGCAATTCAAGGATGAATAAAAATAATAATAATTAATAGATGATTATATGGGCAATTTTAAATAAAGTAAACAATGGACAAAATATTTCCCTTCTACTGATTTAAATCATAACTTTGTTGATCATAAAAGACCTAATTTCTTAGAAAAAGGTAATTATTAAGAACCAGGATTAATACTTCTACAATTTTTAAGAGAAGGAGCAAGTGCCAAGGTAAAAATTCATTTATAAATTAGGATAATTTTTAATTATTCCATAGATAATTACGAGCTAAGGATAAGCACTAATTTTTAGGATTGTAAGTAGATCCAAATTGATTAATTATCATAATTAGAAATATTATTTATAATTAATTCTAAATAGTTAAATATATGATAATTAATTTAATATAATATTATGTAAATTATTAGAAAAAAAGAAAAATATATCATCTAAATTTATATAATCTTTTCTCTTTAGTTTTAAAAAATTAAATTCAATTCTGTATTTTGAATTATCAATTTTAACCTTTAAGATAAGTAATCTACAGTTTCATTAAATTGCATAAGTCCATTTAATTCATAATAAATATAACAATCTTTACATTCAATTAAATATTAATCAGATAATATTATAATATTAAAGAAATCAAATTATGATACATCATTAAAATAAAACTATTTTATTTGAAAGATCAATTATAAAATCACTTTGCAAATTTTGAGTGTTTTACAATTGCTAGTTATTTTGTCACTGGTGATTGATAGGAAAGATTTCCATCGATAGAATTTAAGGAGCCATCATGTTTCTATAAAGAACTCAATTGCTGAAGAATATGATTTTTTTGGGGTTTCTGTTCAGTTTTTCTTTTTGATTAAATTGTAACAGTATCTAAAGCAGCTCTACATAATGGGCATATCTATTATTAAAATATATTAATACTTTATTCTTTTTCATCCAATTTTATAAACAAGTTACATGAAAAATATGTTCACAATAAGTCATTCTTACAATACTATCAGGCTTAAATGGTTCTAAACAAATTGAACAAGATTATTCATCTTGATATGGTGATCTTCTATCTGATACTGAAAAAAATTGTTAAGCAGGCATCAAATTTTCCATTTGGATAGTTTATTTTTATTGTTTTCTTTCATTTTTTATTTTAAAAATGTAGACTACAATAATTATGATAATTATAACGCTTAAAATTGATGCCAAAACAATAAATACAATAATACTTGAATATTATTCATCTGCTTAATGTGAATATGATACAATTTTAGAAGTGTTTGTCACAAATATAAATTATGAATAATAATTTATTTTAGTTTATTATTATAATAACTATGTCTGTTATTTGCAAGAGTTTATTTAATTTTCATTAATCTAAAGAATTTTTCCTATTTGATTAGGTATTTATAAATGAGATGAGTTAGCATAACATATTATTGAATAAGTTAATTCTTAATTTAACTCTATAACATAATCTACTGACTATAAAGTAATAAGGTCTAAGTAAAGTATTTAAAAACCAAAAAAATAATTGTTTTATTCGATATTGGTAGTAATTATGTCACAATCATATCCAAAATAACCTAAAGGACATTAACAGAATCCTTTTACACATATTCCATGATTTTTACAATTCCTTTAATAGTAATTACTTTTACAAAGCACATTCTTCAATTTCATATGATTCTACAGTCAAAAGATAAATAGAATCCTAGCTTGAATAAACAGAAGCATGACATTTATGTTTGTCAATTGAAAAAATGTTGTAATATTAGGATACTAAAGTTGAATGATGATTATGCTATATAAACAGGACTTAAGTCTAATTTCTTAAGATGTATGCATTGAAATCAACCAAACAATTATTTGATTCCTGATTTTTTTATTCAAGAAGTTATTCAAATTAATCATTATTCTCCAAATTTGTCTAACAAATAGCTAATATTGATGTTCCTTAAAATTATTAAGTGAGCTATATTTTCAGCTATTTTGTTGGAATTAAATCCTCACAATAAGAGTTTAATGGAATATTTTATATTCCTTTAGTAGTATTTATCAAATTTTAAATCAGAATTTCAGCTAAACTTTGAAGAAAGAATAAGAAAGTTAATGAAAACATAAATAATTATTAATGAATTAGATAACAAATTGTTCAACATTAAAAATATAATATAAAATTCATAATTTAATTACTGGTGAAATGGCTGAATTGTTCTCGATAAGGTCTAATTTTTTATTTTAGAAGAATATTTGCTAATTTATTATGTAGAGGATGTACTTTTAAATAATCTTTCATCATTATTTTCGTATTTATTAATTTATTGAGTATTTAATATATAGGTTAAATCTAGAAAGTGAGCGTAAAGTTTATGAATATATACTTTATTATTTTTAATCCAAAGATCTCAACACTTTGAATGTAAAAAATCGTGCAATAGTAGCCTGAATATTGAGGTAGGGCGACTATAATTATTTAGAGCAATTAAAATACATTTCAAGTCACAACATATACAATAGTATTTTTATTTGAACTTTTGGGTAATAGTCAAATATAGTCTGAAAAATAATTGTTAAATGTAAGGAGGTTCAAAAAATATTTGTGTAAAGAAAAACTATTAATTGTATAAATATAATTATTTATTTAATACATATTTTGGGATAGAATCCAACTGATCTTTTGAATAATACAGTTATTGTCTCCATCTTTTCTTTAGTTAAATCTAATCTTAATAGATAACTATTACATTTTATTCTTTGATGTTTACATAAGAATTGGTATCTATTGGGTATAATTATCTCTGTGTTTTTCCTTTGATAAAAATTCTAAGATTTTTGAGGATCAATTAATATTAACTATTTTATGGTCTTTTTCTATTTTCATCTAAAAATAATTGATGGATATATGTAAAAGGTATGGAATTTTACCAGGCCATGCCTTTTTATTGCAATAAACAAATTGTATTTACAATATAGCCTAAATTTCTTTATTTAAAGCTTATTTGATAAGTATTCTTTTTTGGTTAGTTATCATTATTATTTTCAATATAATATAATCAAGCTAACAAAGTCACACCAAGTAATATGAATAATTTCTAGAGTTAATGTTACTATCTATTCATCCTGATTAAAGCAATTTGTCTATATCTTATAAAACTGAAAATTCCTTTATTCAAATTATTAACAATTGAAGTCGAAATATGATTATTTAATAAATTTATCAAATTAATATTTTATTTTAATTATATTTCCCTATTATAAATGCTTAAAATCTAAAACCAGGATGTTTTACTATTAGCATTTTATACTTTCAGATTGATGAAAACATAATAATTCTTAAATATTAAAATATATTAATCAACAAAAACATTATGATCTCATCATTTATATATAATTTATAGCAAAATTTCTGGAATTTTCTAATTTTTGGCTTATGATAATCATTTTGATTAATTATAAATTTTTGTAAATAGACTTTTCAACAGATATTTTACCCAAAGATTAAACTAATTCTGATTTTTTTATTCAGATTCTGGTTAACCAATCTGAGCATAACCTTATATTAAGAATTAATAAAATTATCATTTTTATTCATCAATTTTTTATTTTTTGTATTTTTGATACATATTTGTGACTATATAAGTGAGCTTAATAATTTAAACATATTAATTTCATTTTTTGTTTAAAGCAAAATTTGTAAATACATATTGCTTAAATTTACTGAGATCTTTTATATATTTTATTAAAAATTGTGAATATAAATAAATTAATTCACTTTCCAAAACCATTTCCCAAATCAAATTTATTAGCATACTTTTAAAATAAATCCTTGTCATAATCTTATATTTTCTTTTTTAAATCCTATTTCATATTTACATATTTGCTATCTCCCATGTATGTTCTTCTCATCGCATCTTAATTTTGGAATTCTTTAAAGAACTCATTGCTAGTAACCAAAAACTAAATTACTAAAGTGTTGTACTTTTTTTTTTTTCTCTACTTATGCATTATTATTATCTTATCCTCTTTTTCTGAAATATTCTTCTAATGTCATTCCATTATAACTATTTGGATTAAAATTTTAAGCTGTTC